CGGCGCGTCGCAGTCCTGATGCTACGACGCGGAGCCTGTTTAGTTGGAAAACTTCGCAATTGCTTCAACAGGTGTGCCGGCTTGCGCGTAGTATCTCGTGGGGATTCGGTTTGTTGTGCCTTCTGCGGTTTTGATACGCGCGAATCTCTTTGGCGTGGCGCCGCTGCCTGATGAGAGCGATTGCAAGGATCAAGATCAGCTACGGTGCGGCATGGCACGTACTGCACCGCACAGGATAACGCTTCACGATTTTGTCGCACGTGTATCAGTTCAACAGGGCCCGCGGTTCAACAATGTACCTACCAGTTCAATACCGCCCCGGGGCCTAAATATCCTAGAACAAACAGGCCATTTGATATGCTCGGCGCCAAAAAAATATGCAGGTGGAGGAAGGAGTAGGGGGGGCGTTCCTGACCCAAAGGTACGCTCCTGATCTCACTGGTACTTAGTCGATCCGGGGGGCCAGGTATTACCTGCCTCCCGGTTCGGGTCTGAACCTGCAATGCCGCAGCGCCGTCGTTTGAGATGGTGCTGCAACACAGCTGCGCGCACCGTGATGGGCGCCAAAGGCCTCAAGTCTGTCACTACAGAAAACAGTAGCCATGACTGCGATCGGCCCTAGCGTTCGACCGCTTTCTGTTTGAAACCAGCCAGCGCCGCGCGCACAGCTTCGGTCTTCGTGCGCCCATTGATCGGATGCAGCGTCCCTAAATCCTACGGCCGGCTGCCGTCCCACCGTAAACAATAGTCGCGCAGCGCTTCGCGCCTCACAAACCAAAATCGCGCGCGCGCGCGCCAAAATACAAGACCTTTCGGGGCTTGTTGCGTGCACATACTTTTTGCGACATATGGTGCCCACAAGATATGCTCTGTAGCTCATCGGGATCCTTTTCTCTCGTTGCCTGCTCTTTTTTTCGGGCTTTGGCACGTGCGCTACGTATGGTTCTGTTCTTTTTCGTATGCCCGGTACCTTCACGAACTAGTTCGTGAACTGGGGTACACTCTCGAACCGATTCACACGCAACAAGATCATATGAGATCACGTCAATCATAATAAAAAATTTTACAACTGAATTAGCTGTTTGACTACAAAAAACGTTTGTAAACGCAGCAAATGCTGCATTTGCGGTTTTTCTAGTCCAATGATGAGTCATAATAATGGCAATTGTAATTTTTTTAGTGCATTTATGAATTACATGTTGTCAGCTCGATCATTTTTTATGTTCTGCGCCAGGCTGCGCGTAGGAACATGCGGAGTACAGGCTACCCGGATCGGCGCGTCGCAGTCCTGATGCTACGACGCGGAGCCTGTTTAGTCGGAAAACTTCGCAATTGCTTTTATAGGTGTGCCGGCTTGCGCGTAGTATCTCGTGGGGATTCGGTTTGTTGTGCCTTCTGCGGCTTTGATACACGCGAATCTCTTTGGCGTGGCGCCGCTGCCTGATAAGAGCGATTGCAAGGATCAAGATCAGGTACAGTGCGGCATGCTGCAGCGCACAGCATAGCGCTTCAATATTTCGTCGCACGCAACAAGATCATACGAGATCGCGTCTTTCATAATAAAAAGTTTCACAATCAAATCCGTTGCGTAACTACAAAAAAAAAATTATAAAATTAGCAAATGCTGCATTTGCGGTTCTTACAATCCAAATGCGAATCATGATAATAAAATTGCAATATTTTTACTGCATTTATGAATTACATGTTGTGCGCATGTTTACTGCAGCTCGATCATTTTTTGTGTGGAGAAGCTTTGCGTCTTTTTTAATCAAGTATTTATTTCAAGAATCGAAGAGTCGAGAAAGTTTTTTTATGTACTAGTCCTGACAAAACAACCTGCAGCGGCTTAACTTGTTGTGCATATGGAGCGATTGCGCGGACATGGCCGCAGTCAGGATGCAAAGACGTGGGCGCTCGTGCGTTGGAAAACTGTTTGTTACACGCTGGAAACCTTGTCGGAAGTGACGAAGAAAATAAAAACGCTGTCCGAGCACAAAGAGACCGCACAAAAACAGAAATTGATGGCCCGAACAGAAGAACGTCTACTGTCAAGATCCATTTTCGCCATGTATTAATATTTTGGTATATCAGAAGTGCAATTTGGCTCGTGAATGACGCATTTGCAAACTTTATCGTCCTGTTGGACTATCAAATCAACTCACAGTTGCCGGTCGTCACGAACGGAAGCCCGCGCATGTTGTGCAGCGAATGTCAATTGTCTTCACAATTGCTAAATTTTTCGCGCCAATATCCGCGCCATCGCCCCGCTGCTCGTAGCCTAATAACCTTAGATTTGCAAAGTAGCGCGACTGATGCTGCATATTCCAAACCGATGCACTATATTAAAACTTGTACATCAAAAAAAACACAACGAAACCAAGGCAAAGCTGAAGCAACATACATGACTTTTCCATTTCGATCGCGCGTGCTTCGTCACAAAAAGGAAGGTAAGCATGCGTACGAGGGAGCACGAGTGCAGGTACTGCAGCGCACAACGTAGCGGTGCACGATTATGATGCACGCAACAAGATCATAAGAACTTGTGTGTCCTCGGATCACTTCATTCCAACAAGTTTTACAACCAAAATGGATATTTTTGTCCGCGTGAATAACCATAAAATCAGCAAATGTCGCATTTGCGGTTTTTACTGTGAAACAAAGAATACTGTATGCGATTGCATTTATGATTTACAGTTTTCCGTGTGTTTTTCGTGTGGTTTTGCCGTTCAGAACCAAACCACAGGAAAAACGCACACACTTAGAGACTAACTGCTATATGTCTTGATCGTTTTTTGTGTGGAGAAGTTTTTCCATCTTTGTCCATCACAGTGTTTTTTTTCAAGATTCGAAGACCCGAAAATGTTTTTCGTGTACTAGTCCTGACGAAACAACCTGCAGCGGCTTAACTTGTTTCCTTGTGCATATGGAGCGATTGCATGAACATGTTCGCAGTGAAAATGCAAAGACGTGCGCGCCTGTGTGTTAAGAAACTCTTTGTATACAAACTGGACACCTTGTCGGAAGTAACGAGAAAAATAAAAACGCTGCCCGAGCAAAAGAACAAAAACTAATGGCGCGAACAGAAGAACGTCTACCAACACTCATGATCAGTTTGGCTCTTTTTCATTATTTTGACGTATCAAGGGCACAGTTTTGCAGGCGTGACAAATCTCTACTGTTGTATACAGAATTTCATCCTTGTGGCGGGAGACACGAAAAACCCGCCTTCTTCCTCATTTGTATTGCTCAGGCCCGTGAGCCAAAATGGTGTTTCTCGTGAGTGTTGACCAAACTCTACTCATGATGGAAGGATTTATTCGCTAGTTTGCATGTGAGATTCGTAATGGCCTTTCGGAACACAAAAAAAAACAAGAAAATACGATTAGCCTACAGCTTGACTGGATGATTGCTAACGAGCAAAAACGATGATGTCCTACAGAAAACGATGATCTTGACACAGAAACGAGCAAAAACGATGATCTTGACAATAATAGCAGTGATCGAAATAGAGGTGAGAACACACTGTTCACAACAAAAGCAACACAACAAACGGTCCGCGATGTCGAGATGACAGCCGTGAGCACTATAGTATCTTCATTGGGATTTCTCGTACTTGTGGCAATTCAAGCAAAAAAAGTTCGCGAGGAAAGTTTGCAAAGTTTCGCTTTTTTTCTTTGTAGACAAATGAAAGTTTACTTCGGAGGTATCTCAGATGCTACAACTAGATCCATGGAATTATCATTAACACCAACGCCCTACTGATGGCTGTCAACACCTGCGGGTATAGTGTAAAAAATGGCATAGAAATGCATCGACATTTGGTCCGTTCTTGCAGCGATGGAAACAACAGAAGATCAATATCTTCATCACCATTGCAGCACGCGGAAGCCGTGAGTGTACTTCTAAAATTCTCAGTACGAGAAAAAACTCAATCCATTATAGTAATCGAGTCGCATGTATTACAGGCTGGAGGCCTTCGGGTCTCTGGTTCAGGCCGGTACTCAAGGCTCGTGGGAATCATTATTTCTGACTGAGAGTCTGAAGAAGAGCGGCAAGGAAAAAGCACAAAATAAACATGCGGAATTTGCGCATGACGACTTGCGACATGCGAATGTCGCAGTCCTGCACCGTGTCCTTCTCGAGGTCAGAAATCGAGTGAGTTCGAGACCGAAATAGGAAAAAACAAGAGCAATTCAATACTGCGGCTGTTGGATCTATTTTCAACGAGCCAAATGTGTCTACGCTAGCTTTGGGTTCTACACTAGCTTTCAACGGGTTAAATCTGTCTTCTGAAACGTCGAAGAACCCATCGCGATAAGACGAAATAAAAAGACGTCTTTACCCAAAGACAACAGAGAGAAAGGTCGTCTTTAGCCAAAGACAACACATAGAAAAGAGCATGTCTCGTTTTGTACTGCCCAAGCAAATATAGACCCGTACAAGCACGACAAGAGTCATGATCCTGCTATCCGTGGATGCGCTTTATGTCACTCATCGCGACGAAGCAGCCTGACGCAGATACTGGAAGGATACCGGTGCAGGTCCCTGCGTCCGGATCACACTTCAGTGGTACCATACGTCGGACATCGGGCGAGAAACCCAATTGCGTGCTCCGACTAATTGATTCGGGTACTGTCACTTTGTAAATGTAAAGTACATTTTCACTTTGGAACAGATACATAAAAGCTCAAAAAGCAATCATAGCGGAAAAATATAGGACATGAAGATCAGTTCAGTGTCAGATCGGTATGAAAAACCCAACAAGCCTCCTTCTCTTGTACTTTTAAGAAAACAAAAGCTGGAAGGAGGAAGGTGCAACTCTAAAAAGGTGAAGAAAAAATGTTTTCGAGGAAATGAAAAATCTGAATCAGCATTGAACAAATCACCACCAAGCATCATCCACTCTTTTCAGGTATCTTCCTCTCCCGCGTCTTTGGCCCACAACGCGTCCCAATTTTTCACGACGGTTTTGTATTCAGTACAAATACGTGTGGGTCTGGGAACTTGTGGAGCTGGATCGCAATGATTGAGCGTGCGTTCAAGTGCAGCCAAGCATGATAAATTTTTGACACGCCTTGTCATTCGCAGCGACATGAGAGCCTGCCTTTTTTGCATGAAGTAGAAAGAAGTCGTGCGTTACAGTTTTCACAGGCCGCAACCGCATGCAGCGCAAGCAATACAGGTTCCGCTTTTCCAGGCCCCTATTTGCAGTGCATATTTTGTACGCCGCTCTGATATTTTGAATCACGTCCTCGCTGCTGCCCCGTAATTCCGAACAGCATCCTCTTGCAAACACTTTTTTCGACAATCAGACACCGCTGTAGTTCTGCATCAGAATGAGTATGATCTGAATAGATTATCTAGGAAGTTTATTTCCATTTAGGTACTTTACATCTTCCCAAAACCACGACTTTGATTATGCTGTAACCCATACTTACCTACAACAGCGGGATCGCGATAGTACCTACTAAATTCACTTGTTAGCTATGTAGTACTCCTCCTCCTGCTGCCTTCAGTTGCATGAACGGGTTGCGCTCAACAACATTTCTAGCATCTTTCCTTTTGTATGAAGGGTTGCAAAAAACCGACACGAGCGCTACTGTGCAGTAGAAATTTCAGGTCTAACGCCCCTCGCCCTCCGCTAATGGTGAGTCATGCAAGTTATGAAGCCGGCAAGAATCTATCACAGGCACCAAGAACTACTTTGGTCGTATGTAGATGTTGGCATTTGCAAGTCGATAGCTTCCAATATGGATCGACGTCGACGATCCTTCGCCAGATCTTGATGTTCCACGATGGTGCCCAATTATGCCAGCAAAATCCAAAATTTTGAGTAAAGCTAAGTTTCTCCTCGCGTCCGCACGCTAGATCGAGAGATGACACATTGGCGTGTGTATGCGAATACGACATGCGAGCGCCACAAATGAAATGCTGCACGTGTTTCTACATCTCGAGCTTATCATGTACGACTAGTAGGCTAGCATGAAAGCCTCAAGGTTGTAGCATGACACTGCAACTGACGGTTCTACTTCTAGGTCTAACTCAACATGATACAATTTCGCTGAGATAACTGCTAGGGAGATCTTCTTGGAAGTGGAAAAACGCTTTCGTGGTCCGCAGCAAGCGCATGTTGAGAGAGCTGCAGATGGCGCCGGCGCCGCGTCCCCGCATCTTCGGCTGCTTGCCGCCCGCTCCACCCTCTTCCGCTGCTGTGTTCTCCTCGTCGCGGTTGGAAGCGTCTAGCTTCAAATCCATGGGAGGGCATGACCTCTTCTTGGGTTGGGACGTGGATTCACCGCGCTCTTCAATCTCCACCTTTTCTTCCCACCGACCCGGCACTGACCCCCGCGCTATGGTCCACTTTGAGCCGTCATATGGAATGCAAAAATGTCTGGATCTGGAAAGAACATGCCCACTTGTGAGGCGATCTGTTGTGCTCGTGGATTATGTTGAGGGGGCATTTCTCATGCACAGCAGAATTTGTCCTGCTGTGTGTACATTCCAAACCATTTTGGAGATGCACCAACAGCAAGACAATATATCGGTTTTCTTGCCGAGCCAGACATGCTATTTGCATTTGATACGTCACGCGCTATTACCACGGAGTCTCCCTTGAAGAAAATTCCACATTTCTTGTCGCCAATCAGGTCAAGCTCCGCGTTATATGAGATGTAAATATGTCTGGAGCTGGAGAGATTCTGAAGTTTGTCATGCAGCTTTTGCAGGCCCAGGCCTCACAAAGTCTTGAATGACGGGCCTGTAGGCATCACAGGTTATGCACAACCTTTAGGATGCTTATCCTTCATGAGAATGAGAAATCTCTACTTAGCATGAAAAAAACAACTTATCCAAGACAGATTTTTGGGAGACTGGCGGGACGCAACACAAGCTCAACTTTACCAGACGCAGACATACTTGCAGTGGATACGTGAATTGCCTCGACAACGCCGGACTCCAGCAGTCGCTTCGCTGCACGGGTTATGCATTGCAAATGTGTCTGGGTCTGGAGACAAGCAAACTTGTGATGCGCATTGGAGTTCATACGAAAATCTGTCATGCTTGCATGCTTGAACAGGAGGAGCCTTGCGTTTCTTGTTGCCGAAAGAGGACATTTAGTGCCACGGACTAGGCATTGGCAGGCCTTGTGAAAACGTGTGTGATGCTAGCGCTTGCATGCCAGACCTCAAGGGTCAAGTAAAAACAGCATCACAAACATTTGCACTCTTCCAGACCTCGACATACTTGCATTTGATACGAGTGCCCTCGACCTTCTCCTCCAGAATCTTTTGAGGGCGCTCCGCTGCGCCGGCCATGATTTTTTCGATCTTGTCGGCGCCCAAAGACGCCGGCAAGAGAATCCCGTACTGCCAGCTGTTGTTCGGCGCTTCGCGGAACCTTCGCAGCTGCACTGATTTGCCCGGAGGCAGCTTCTCGAGGATTTTCTGGTAGATGTCCGCGAAGAAAGGCAGGAACGAGCCACAGAGCAAAGTCGCGGTCAGCTGCCTTCGGGTTCCGATAGTGTTGTTAAAATTTTTCGAAGATGACCAATAGATCCTTTCTCTATCGTATGAAAAAGTACCGCTCTCGTAGCAACTGCGATCATATTTTCCATGCGAAACCTGTGAAATCTGTGCCTTCCTACGTAATTGATCATGACAAATTCCAGTCGTCAACATTTTGGTCCTGAGAAATAGATCTGTATTTACCGCATACTATCAGTGCGGTACTTTTGCAATGCATATTCTTCCTGGTCCGCCTCCGACAACTCCTTCAGGTCAGATTTTCGGTCCTCGAACAAAGCCGGCGAATATCCTGTGCAAAAGCCTCGCATTCGCAGTCGCACGAATTGCAGTCATGCATCACAAATCCAGCTCTCTACCTCATCCAGCATGAGAAAGTGCGCTTGATTTCCTCTCGGGAAGGTTTCTACAAATGCAATTGGTACCTGTAGTGCGAAACTTTTGCAATTCATACCGGCAGGAGCGCGCTGGAGGAAGATGACGACGAGGACGACCGCGGCAAGGCCATTTCCTCCTCCTCGACATCAACGTCGACAAAGTAGCTGTGCGGCGCCACCTGGGGCACCCGAAGCAAACGCTCGAACCGGACCACTCGCCCCTTTCCAGTGACCGGCGGTTGTGAGCGGTCACGGCGCTCCACAATCCGGCGGCTACTTTTCCGCGCGAGCGCTGGGAATTTGAGGTCTTTGATGTCATGACTACCGGAACCACCCGTGTGCTCGCTGTTGTGCCCTCCAAAATTGTCGTTGCCCTTCTGATGTCCCAGCATCTCCAGGAATCGGTCGAACAGCTTTTCTTGTTCCTCTTTGGGGTACTGCGGCAAGCAGTTCAAAAACTGCGTCACCCTAGTTCCGCACGCCTCATGCGCCTTCCTATTGTACTTCGGCTCGCACTGTTCTGCTAGATCGCGCCACTGAGGACGAGCGCCGAATTCCAGTACAAGCTGCTTGACCGCGTCGTCTGCTTTTCCATGTGAGAAGTGGCTCTCGTCGAGCAGCGCGTCCAGGGCGGCATTTCCATGCTCAGCTCGCCCCCGAGTGAAGGCGCCCAGCAGTTTGATGCGCCGCGCCAGGGCGCACACAAACCGAGCTTCCACCGCAGAAAAACTGGACGTGATCAGCGTGTACGCAGGCAGGTGCGCCTGGCCCGACCTGTGCACTCGGCCGATTTGCTGGGTGAACTCCATGGAAGACCAGGGAAGCTCCAGAATAATCATGTGCCGTGCCCGCGAGTCAGCTTTGTGGGCGTGCAGCGACACGCCCGTCGATCCAGCAGCGGTAATAATCGCTACACGTTTTTGGCCCGCTTGGAACGCTTCTATCTCCTTTAGACTCGCATCCACTGGTCGGGTGGCGCTTTCGTAGCGTGAGGGTTTATCACCGGAAGCTTCGCCCTCGCTCTTCAAGAGGAGCCTCCGGCTCCGGCCTGAGATCTCTGCGACCTTTTCCGGTCCCCCAAGCGAGTTCAGGATGTGGTCAAGCGCATTCTCAGGCAGCTTCAAGCCCTTCCACCGAGCGATGAGTTCGTCGCGTTTTCTCCTGCTGGTTGCGGAAAGCAGTCGGCGTTGTTCTGGGCCGGCTTGGTTTGCGTCGAACGAGTCGAAGCAATAGGTTTTCAGGAAGTTGACCGCGATGCTTTCACACAACGAAAATCGACCGCTGCAGGATTGGTCAACGTCGTCGGCATTGCCTCCGGGCACATCATCGCCGGCGTCGTCGCCATCTGTGTCGTCTCGGTCCGTCATCGCGGCCTCTCCTGTCGACTGCAATGCGAGGACGACCTGCTTGCCCTCCGCCAGCAGCCTTCGTGCGAGTCCCAACGCAGCGGGAAGCTTGTCGCAGGCCGCAAACTGCTTCCAGAACTTCTGCCGCGCCGCGGTGAATATGCCTCGGAAATTCGCCACACCGCCGCTTCGGCCAGGGTTTGCCGCCTCCGCGGCTTTCACGTACTCTCGGCCGTGGTTTTCCAAAAGGCTGTGGAAGAATGTACTGGTGTCGTGAAAAAGCGCCACGACTTTGTCATGCAACGTGGCGTCAAGCAGCCCGTTGCCCTCGCCGGCCGTGGCAACGTGGAGGTCGCCGCCGCACCCGATGTCGAACTGTACGCCTTCGAGGCTGAGTCGCCGACTTACTGCGGCACCGGAAGTGCGCAACTGCCAGCCGAGTGCGGCCATCCCTCCCAAGGGACTCGCATCCCGCATGGCGAAGGTTCTGCGGAGGTGGTCAAAACCGACTTTCTCCCATGCGCCGAGACGGGCCATGCACGTATGCATTGCAAAACAAAGCATGATCGCACTAGTGCTAGTTACTCTTACTGGTAGCAGAAGAATTGAGTTTGCCAAGTTCATGCAGCATTCAAATCAGCATGAGTGCGACGCTCATACTTTTGCGCAGAATAATAAGCAAGTTCCGACAACTCCGCCGCTGCTGTGGCACTGACGTAGAGGACTCTGGCTTCCTTGAGCAAGCTCATTTGCATCTCTACGACTGCAACGCCGCAGCTTTCACTAGCTTTTTTACAAATGTCGCCGTTAGGGAGGTACTTGACGCGAAGCTGGTTCTTCGCAGCGTGGCACTCGTCGAACGCCAGCACTCCGCTGCCGAAATACTTCTTTTGTCCCGCGTTCGTGGGGACTGCGTCTTCGCCCTTCTCCGCGGCAGGTGGCTCGTTGAACCATGTGGCGAGGAGCTTCCTGTTGTCGTCGTTCGCCAACCACCTGTACGAACAGAAGACAACGCCGTCGCCGGCATCTCCGCTGCTTTGCTGTGTGGCGAACGTCCTGGTGTCCAGCAGCTGCATTTCACGCGGGACCTGCATGTCTGCGAAGTCTCGCTGCGCATCCTTCAGCAGCTCTTTCTTCTTGCTACACCAAATACTTCGTCGGTTGCCGCTGTTCCAGTGGTGTAGCATAACGCCGGTAACCATTCTTCCCTTGCCGCATCCTGTCCCTTCCCCGAGAAGGAAACCCTTCGGGTAGGGGTAGCCGCCCTTGTCCAGCATCGGGTCGGCAGCCGTTGCTGGTTTAGGGTTCGAATGGCCAGCGTTTGTTGCCAGCAGCTGGGAATCTTTCGTCTGCTCGGAGATCGCGAACTTTTCGTCTGTTCGGAGCACAGCGAGCGTAATGGTTTCCAACTGCGTCGAGGAGATGAGCTTCTGTTCGAGATAGGTCACCGGAATTCGAATTTCCAGATCCTTCGGTATCGCGACTTTGCCAGCTCTTGTCTCCGCAATCGCGGACGGGTGCGCGGCACAGCGGAGCGCTAAATTAAACCCGTACCGCGCAACCACGTCGCCTTCGGTGTCGCTTTTGCGGTACGCCTCTTCTGCCGCTTCGTAGTCTGCCTTCTGCGCTGGCGTCTCGAGCATGTGGTTCCGGCGGCCGGGGAAGATCCAGTTTTTTCCTGCAAGATGCTCCTGCTCATCGTTAGCGTGAAGGTCATGCGACGAGGATTCCTGCTTTGCAGTGTTGACGTCGGGACCCAGCTTCGGCGACCTGTCGCCGATGTCCACTTTCCTCTTTTTGGTTTTGCTTGAAATAGGAGGATTTGCTGAAGCTTCATCTACTTGGTCGTCGGTGTTCGTTTTTCGCGGACTGATGTGCACGGGCGAACTTGTCGATGATGATGAGCCTTGGTTCCCTCGTCTCGTGGTGTCATTCATCAGCACCTGTAGTGAATCTTAGAGTTATGTTGCAGAAGAGCAGTTCCGTCATCGTCATTGAAATGTAGAGCATCAAAGCGTCTCGAACAAAAAAATATGCTTGACATGGAAAAGCATAGCTCGCTGCGTGCGCTTACTGAGTCCACCCACGTATATACTTTTTTGAAAATTCAAATATTTCATACCACGAGGTAGTCAAAAAGCATATTATTTTTCAATAAAAGTGGACCAAGGTAGGCGTGCTTCGAAAAAAATGCGAATCTCGGAGGTTAGATACTTACGACACAACCCACTGATGTACCTGGTGTAGCCCTCGTTGGTAGTTTGTTTCTTGCAACGTTAGCCGACTCCGGGTCTCCGTATGGATGGCCGTCTGCCAGACTGCTTTTCGCTTTGCGCACGGTACTGGAATCAACGGCGAGGCGTCTTCTTCATCACGAGCTGCTGAACTCTTAGCGGCTTCAGTTTCTGTGCCAGCTGCAGGCCAGTCCCAGTCTTCTCCACCCGAGGAAGACGAGCAGGCCGGTCCTATCACGCCCCTGGCGCGCTTCAGAAATTGCGGCGAGGTTGCCGCTGCCGCCTTTGCGGTGTTTAGTCTCCGCTTCTTGTTGCTCCGACGTCCAAGCGACCCAGCAGCGGAGAAGGTCGACGCCCGCCTTGTATCTGGTCGTAGAGAGCGAGCGGAGGGAGAGGTTTGTTGATTTCCCGACCCACTGCTTGCTTCTGCTGCGGTGACGGTAGAGCGCTTGGATCGCTCCTTAGCATAAGCAAATTCGTGGTTCATGTTGCGCGAGAACGAGGCCTGTGAATTTCTGGTGCCTAAGGTGCAGCTTTCCTGAAAAGCACCTACCTTATCCGGCAATGCCGATGCCGATTCCGCCCGCGTCCCGGCCGATGCAAAGTCGTCTTCCGCGCCGGTGTTGTGTACTGCTAACTCGCTGTCGTTCGCGTTCAACACATGGTTCGCGTCCATCTTGTTTTCTTCTTGTACCGCTACGGCCGTGTCAACGTTGTCCGAAAGAAAAATACTTCCGATTGATGTATTGGAGCTACCACAGCGCTGTCGCTTATAGTTCGGGTATACTCCTAACAGCGACTGGTTCGCGGTGCCAGAGTGCGAGTGGCCATTGCTTCTCACGTTCCCGGAGCGCGAGTGGGAGTGAGAAGCCCCGGCCAGGCGAACGCGGGAGCTCGAATTGTTTAACGAAGACTGCGATGAAAAATCAAACGAAGCCCCCTGGAAAGACGAGGAGCTCGAGGAAGACGAGCTACTACTACGCTTCATTCCCTCGCTGTTTCCACTTTCTCTTAGCGGGTTTCCATTACGTTCTTCTTTCAGCACTCTTTTTTCGTGTTGCGCACGAGCGCCTGCTCCACCTGTCACCTGCTTTCCCGACCCACTGCTTGCTTCTGTTGCGGTGGCGGTAGAGTGCTTCAGCAGCAATCCCTGTGGAAATAAACAGTTTCAATTTTTCATCCGATTCATTTTGTGTCCCAGCATCCTACTTTGTTCACACGATTACAGCTGGCGCTGTCGTTGTAGCCCAGAGGAAAAATAACTGCGGATGTATGAAGTTAATTACGTGGACCTTCGTCACAAGTGATCACATCGAGTTCGTCGTTCTGTGGGGACGAACAACCACCAAGAAAAACACAGAACAGGCCCATTGTTGTAGTATAAACCCGGCTGGAGCTGTAAGAAAAGTAGCGTACCTCAACACAAGCAAAAGCATGCGCTCCGATCCCTCCTAGCTCCAAGGCTGGAACTGACTTTTCGCCATGAGATGCGATCCCTGAAAAGTGTAAATTGAATCGACTCTCATGGGAACCTCAGGCCGTGACGAAATGTCATCAAATTATCAAGATGCTCAACCTGCTAAAGACCGAATCGTCACAAAGATGTAGGAAGTGGTCCCGCCGAATTCAAGTAGAAAGTGTAGGTCGCCGCAACAAGCAAAAGATCACGACAAATGAAGTTGTGGTGGGGCTTACGCCGTGTAGTAGAAAGTACACACTGGAGTCAATTAGTCGTAATGCAAAAAATGCAGTAGGCCCATCCACAACAGTCACCAAGCACGTCTAACCAACTGGGTAAATCTGTACCTGCCCAGGGGGCGTCGCCTGCGAGATCACTGCCGACAAATGAGGGTGACTCATTGGCGTTGATGTGAGTTTCCCGCCTCTTCCCATCGTGTGACGTGTCACGTTCCGTTTCCTCAACCACTGTCAGAGGAGGCATTTTACTTGATGCACTGGAAACCTACTTTCGAGAAGAATTTTTTTCTTCTAATACGAGCAGCTCAATGGCACTTGTGCTGTCCCTGACTGAACACGAAGGAAATTACATTTCTTTCTTGTGATATCGATTTCCTAACTGCAAGGCTTGATGGGGTTCTCCTCCTGATGGGTACAACGTAGATGGGTCGAGCCAAAATGAACGAGGTTGGGAGCGATCATCTCTAACGAAAATCAACGTCCGCGAGTAGCGATACAGATGCCAAATTGAAATTGCAATCGCCTGGTGCACCTAGAGCAAAAAAGTGAGCCAGTAAAAAGCCAGAGTTGACCTTATCAGACTCGAAGCAGGGCACTCTCATCCGCTCATTGGGCCAACCAAAGTCGCTCTATTCTTTCTGTGTGCGAGGAGTTCAACACGCAACTGCGATGCAAAAAAAATGCAGAGCGAAAAAAGAATATCTCTCTCGTACTCTCGAATCCGACACAAGGCGAAAAAATGACAGAACGACATCGAGGGCAACATTGGAATTGAGAGAGAATCGAGCACGGCCAGGGTCTTCTGCCGGTCTGTCCTGACCATGGAGTTCTTGAACCTACAAAAAAAAAGATATCGCAAACCTTGGCTCTCTCAATTTCAACTCGTTCTGACGTTACTTTCGATCTCGTCGCTTTGTCTATATGGTTCGGTCACTGCTCGTAGTGACGAAATTGTAAGCGAGAACAGTCGCCTGTATCAGCTGTCTTTCCTGGCGACGAAAAAGAGAAATCTTATCTGGTTTCCGTCAACATTGGAAAAACGTATATCACGATTTTGATACGGAAGGGAACTGATGAAGTTCAAATTCACGGACCAAGAAATAATTTCACGGCTTTGTACTGACATCAACATAAAGATCGGAAAATTCCGCTACATTGCTGGGAATTTGTGAAGACACTACCTGCTATCCGGATCTACTAGCTACGCAAAAGAAAAAGGGAGCTCTCAAGTTCATAATGCAAAAGAATTTCTCACGGTAGAAGAAGTTGTGACTCCGCGAGCAACCTTGGGAGATTAGTCCCATTGCCGCTGCCCCCGGTTAAAGGGCTAGAAAATTCTACCTTGGTGATCAGGATAGTCAAAAATAGAGAAAACAATGAAAAAGGTGCTGATGCTGAAAATCAGGTTTCTTACATCGGTATTTTCCTGCCCAACTCAAAAGTTCTGCTCACGTTACTGCTAAATTCCTCTTCTAATCGCGTCGTTTTAGAGACCTTGCAGTTCAAACCTACATACGCCGCTAGCGCTTCCGGGCTTTGAGAATGCTATTGCACTTGCTCCTTCAGCAGATCAACCCGCACAGTTTTGCGCTTCGGGTTGTCATGGAAAAATTTCCTTGCTTGACGCGCGATGGCCTGGACGGTATTCCACTTCGCCGGCGTCATTTTTGGGACTTGACCCTTCAGCTGCTGTATGATGCGAGTGTATTGGGCGCGGCGGATGGCGACAGTCGGGCTCGGGACGCCTGCCGCCAACCTTTCTTCCATCAACGGAGCGGCCTGCCACAGCAGCAGCGCATCCATGTCCTGGGGGTTTTGATCCCTGGCATCCGCACTGCGCTTGAAGTGCTTGCGAATTTTGCCCGCAAGCTCTTGCACCTGGTTCGCGTCAGGTTTGGGCTTACCTGTCGCCACAAGAAGCGTCTTCAGCTTCCTGTCAGGAGCGAAGCGGTCCGTGCCGCGGGTTGCGCTGAAGTCCGCCGGCCGAATCTTCACGGTCGCGGATTGCGCTGCCGCCAGGTCGGCAGCAGCCTTTTTGGTGGCAAAGGTGACGGCCGCCGCCGGCGCCTGTTCAAAGTCTGGCTCTTGTTCTGCCGCTTCTGTGGCGACGCCAGCCATGACGAGCTCCGCACGCGTCGCCTTGCGCGGCGCCTTCCCGAGCACCGTCCACAGCTGCTTCACAAACGGGTCCCGGTCGAGCAGCTCCTTGACGCCCCCAATGAGCTTCTGGAGCAAGTTCCAGCTCTCCCCGCTGTTGGCCTTGCCATGGGCCACCTCCACAGCGTTGCGGATCGTCGCGAGACTCCCGCACTCCGTTCGGGCAATGATTCTGCCGCCGGGGTTCTGCGTTCTTTGTCTCTTGGGATTGGGAGACCGGTCATGCAGTTCCTTCTGCAATAGGCCACTCGTCGAAGATTGAAAATCGGGAGCAGAGCGTTTGTGGATGCGAAGTGCTTCAGACTCAAGTGCCGGAATTCCTGGTGGGGGATTCGTACTGCTTACCGCGGGTCTTGTGGATGCCAATACAGACTTGTCCGCAGCTGCGTCTGTTGCGCCTTCGATGCAGCCGGCCTGAGTGGCGGTGACAAAAATATTGTAACAATATAGTAAGTTTACAATCAAATCCAAGCCAAAATGCCAAACATTTATAAGCCTGCACACAGAGATACTTCAATGATGGGCAAGGTCACTGATTATGTCGCAAATCGAACAGCTACTTTTCATCTTGTTTCGTACCATGGATGGGTCGAAGCAGAAGGAGGGCATCTGGTGCGAGTCTTCTTGTGTTGCAAACGACGATAGGTCCTGCCACGGATCAATCACCGATTCGGCGTGGCGTTCTGGCACGTTTGCGGAAGATGAACCCGAGCAAGGATTCTTGCCGCGACCTGTATAAAGATTCCCCTTGTTTATGATTTTTGGCAAGTAATGGAATGGTAAACTGCGTCTGCGAAAACATATATGAATGGTAAACTGCGCTTGCGTACCGAACTTGTGAATGGTAAACTGCGCTTGCGAAAACATATGTTGTAGCCGACGTCAGCAAATGAAACATACAAAGCACTGTATTTGATTCACCGAGATGAGATCGAGATGGAAGCTACAGCTACTCTGATTTCCACATTAACAACACAACTGAACAGGCCGGGAGAATGGAAGTCGTGGACGCCTGTCAATGAGACGCAATGCAACTACGCATATTAGAGAGACAGTAATAGTTGTATAGCATATATGGGTGCGTTACCAAGGTCGCTCCAGGGAAGACTTGCCGCGTTGCTTCCGTGCGGCGGCTCAGGAGCGCGCGCCCCGCCTTTTGCATGGAGACTGCGCACCTCGGTTGTGATCGCTTTACCATGTGGACGCGAAGAAATGACAACTTCGTCTTGCGGATTTCCGCAATTTATCCAAATGGCAACGGTTTGGCACAGATCAGCAAAAAACTTCCCCTGGGAATCGAAGAACTTGCCGTGCAATCCGAAAACTTCAACGTCCTTCAGCGGCGTAGCGTTAAAGTACGGCGTGAGAAGGTCACCCACGCAGGCCAGAAAGCTTGTCGACGCATGGTCCTCTGTTTGTCCTGCTCGCTCCACTCTTGCTCGCTCCACAATCCTGCGAGAGAGGATTAAGCTGGACGGCCACCCCATTTTTTTGTCTTTCTTGTTAGTGTCGCACTCACGCACCCTTTACTACACGGTCTATCCACGAAGCGAACTGCGTTGTATAAGAAGAACAAAGCGACGTGCATCTGCATTGTAGGCGCTAAGCGCATGCCAAGGGCTAGTTTGGAGACCAGGAAAAGGACATGCAATTATAAATGCACATGTATAATGCAGCCACGAATAAGTGCACATGTATGCAGACAAAACCTCTGCCCTCACTGAAATTGTCTGGAGACGAATCTCTCGTAGCTCACACACGACCCAAGTAGATGCACCGAAAGCTAGCGATCAAGCGCGTGCCTGCCGGTGCTGTTATTGCATTTTGTCGCAAAGAGCACAGCTGCAAACTCACTCAGGAAAGCGATCGATGGTTTTGTCTCCCTCGATTTCAACTAGCGCAGTGCCAACGCTATTGTGCAAATACGTAGTGGTAAATCGGGTCGGGCTGTCATGATATCTCTTGATCGATATTGAAGGTCAATTCCTCTTTCACTTCGAACAGGAGATATACAGACTCTGGCTCCCTCTGGCGGGACTGCTAATTCAAGTTGTCACGGAGACTCCTGTACTTGCAGCTAATAGTTCACGCAAGGTTTTTAATTCGAGTTCTAGTTGCCACCCAGATAATGAATGGGTTCGCTAAGATTGCCATAGCTGCTGGCTGCGACAGTACAACAAGCAGGAAAGAAGCCTTTCCTGGGTATTCAAAGTCGCCACACTGGTCAGACTTTTGTCCGCTGTCTGTGAGAGAAGCTGTTACTCGCAGGCGTAAACAAAATCAAAAGCAGTTTGCTTCACATAACATTTGCAGAAGTTCTGCGGAGAGGGTCATCAGAGAAAGAGTTCTCAGTAAATTAGGTGCGTTCCTTATCAATTGGGAGCAATCGCTATTCCAAACGAACAATAAACGAGCGAAGCACGGCGCACAGTGTATACGATCAATTCAAGTTCCCCCCGCTCAACACCACCACATTTCGATGTCCTCCTCCGGCACATCGTCCGCTGTGTCCACAAAGAACAGCTCCGCGCGGACGCGATCGACGTCCGGGTTCTTCTTCAGGTACCTGCAGACTTTTCCCGCGAGGTCCGACACCTCATTGTGCAGCTTGATGCTCCTGTTACGCACGCCGGCCGCGTACCCGGGAATCAGCGCATTGCGGACCACCTCCACCATGGCTTTCCACTATCCTGAGCAAGAACGTCCCCACCCCAGAGTTGTCATGCATATTGCGTTTGCAAGCTGTGAACAGAATATGGACATAGATTTGTAATCCGGCTGCCACAGCGACGGCTTCACTGCACTACCATCCAAAGCGGAATCTGTCACGTATGACTTCCAAAATTTGTGGATTTGCAGCGCAGACTGCTCATCTTGACGCTAGAGAGAAGACGCTCTTGCAAATGATAGCCATGCGCCTTTTCTCACCTCGTCCTTGCCCGCGATTACTGTGCGGTCGACGTCGAGACGGACCGTCTTACAGGCATCCATGCCGACTATGTCGGCCTTCTTGGTTGCGAACGTTTCCCACGTCGGGCCGGAGTCACCGGGTTCCTCCTGGTCGTTTTCCGCGGCGACGCCGCTTGCTGCTTCTGCGGGAGAAGCGGGTCGCACGTGGTGTTCTCGAAAATCAATGACGAGATAGCTGATGCGCGGGTCACGTTTCAAGGCGTCCGTGGCGCGGGAGGCGAGGGCCTCCACCGCGGCCCACTCCTCCGGCTCCTTGATTGCACCAAACTTCTCGCGGACCTGCTGCAGGACCTTGTAAAAGTCCACCGTGCGACGCCCCCGTTTGTCGGTTTTCTTCAGATCGCTGACGGGTCCTATAACGCAGCGCCTACGGGCAGCGGCCAGCCTTTTGCGCTTGCGAATCTCTTCCCTCCGCTCTTCTTTTTCGTCTAGATCCGCAAGGGTGTCGTAGATGTGATCGACGATATCTGCAGAGCACGAACTCGCCGGCGACGGCGGCGCGGAGGAACAGGATGGAGTTACTCCACCGACACGGCGGAGCAGCCGGTCGGTACTGGTAGAGCGATCAAGGTCGCTAGAAAGATCCAGGTCAGAGTCGGTAGAAAATGAGTCACCCGCCATGAGTGTGGACTGATGTAGTCTCTCCGGGGTGAATTTATTTAGACTATTTGAAAAAATTCAGCTTCTTGCGATTTCGCAATGGCTTTTGGAACGAAGTCAGTTTGCTGTTTTTGGTGCCGATGGATTGCGAAGAGCACGAGTTCGCGGTGTTTTTTGCTACCCGCAGAGAAATCGATGCGAATCGCTCGCGGATCAAGTACGAGCCAAGTATGTGAACCGAGAGCCAAGCATGTGAACCGAAAGCTTGGCTGCTGGTGATATTATTGCGCTCTGTCGCAAATGCATCTGCATACTCACTCAGGAAAGCGTTTGTTTTTTGCTGATATTTGAATCGAACCCGACGAGCAAGATGTTGAAGTTGAACACATCGCACGCGCGTTACGAGTTCACTATGCGAAGCGAACGCCATGTGCATTACTCTGGGTCTGTGTCTGGACTGTAATTGCTCTAGAAAAGCGTTCATGCGACTGTACTGCTCGTCGCCTGTCTGACGTGCGTCGTTGTAATATGAAAACTTTAAAAGTATGATCTTCTGATAGTATGATCTTCTGACAGTCTTTTCACCACGTCGCATCACAATCCGCTGCCCAGCGCGCTTTATCCTCGTCGGTCATATCTGTGAAGTCTGTCGTTGGTGAACAAATGCCGGCATACGTGGGTGGCGCAGAACAGCCCGCTACAGTCTGCGACCACTCCTGAGGGCACGGAGCTGCAAATTCGGTAGATTTGCTACTGCACGGCCATGCAGCACCGCATCTCCACGCCCAGTCGACTTTGTTGGCTAGGTCCATGGTCGAAAAGTTGCGCTCGCCACAGAAGCCTGAGTAGCTAGATCCAGGAACGCACACTGCACCGGCTGAATCAAAACCAACAGGGCAACCGCTGAAATTCATTGGACAGCCTCCTGCAAAGAGTTGCTTTCTCAGCGCAATGTGTACCGCGATAAAGCTGTCTTTTGTTAGCGCACTCAGAGCCATTTCGCTGGAGACCTGCTCGGCGAGGGATGCCGTTCCGGCTGCTATTGCCGATGCTTCATTGGCAGAGGCGTCTCCGACAGATTGCTTGTACGCGGAAGAAGATGTTGTGGCGCTTAGGATCTGGCTGAGCGTTTGGCTAGCTCCGGCAGCACTGCCAGGAAAAATAGGGTCGGCAGTAACGATACGCGATGTTATTGTGCCCAGGACCACCATCGCCGCGCCGCGCCGCATTTTGTTCCAATGTATGGATTGCACCAGTTGAAAAAAAAAAAACTGTTAATTCCGAACCTAGTGCAGCAATTGCGGGTTTTAGTGCTGAAGCAATTTGGCGGAATCACAAATCACAACGATTTTTGGCAGCAAAATTTGGTGCGAGTGCTCGCTCCTCTCAAATTCTGTCGAGAGCTGATGTTCCGAAATATGGTTGAAAGACTCTGTAGCAGCGCGGCTGAGAGTATGCAGCTGCGATGTCGCACGTGCAGTGACGCAGATTTATTGCACTCTATTCAATGGATCGCGCCGCCAACCGTGGTCATTTTCACCAAGCTTGTTTCACATTTAGCTGTTTCTTGCAATGTTGCCTTTGGAGAGGCATCTCAACTTGCTACATGAAGTACGCCTACATCCAGTACGCTCCGCAACGATGCTCCCACAGTGCGAGCATCTTGGCGTTGAAGCCAGTGAAATTTTGCACGTCGGTACACGGTCCAGCATAAGATGGAGAGGGTTTGCACTTATGTATTCCCGCTGGAGCAAATCCGACGGGGCATGTAGCCGAGTAGGAACGGACGCCCGAAGCACATGGCCAGGAAAATCCACACTGTTCCTCTGCACGCATTTTTGCTTCGAGGTTCATTGCTTGAAACGAATAGGGTCCTTTGCTGCAGCTTCCTCTGTAGGTGCTGGCCATGCAGGTTCCGTTTTGCGCCACTGAGAAGCCTATTGGACAGCTTCTGTAGTCCTTGGGACAGCTCCTTATCAAACCGCTCGGCGTAGCTAAGTGTGGCCTTGGTGTGTGCGATATCCCGATCATCATTTCCCGAAACCCGGACACTTCGCTATTCTGTGGCTCTGGCCCGGTTGGAATAGCCGAGAGGGATGAAAATAGTCCGTCCGCAGAAGAGGCTCTCCGCAAAAAACTGGTTTCATGCCATGTCGAGCGCGGACTTGTGCCCTGGCTGTAGCTTTGTTTCACCAGGATGCTTCTGCTAGAATGTACGGTGTCAGCATCCGTATGCGCTGCCCGAAGTTCAGCAGGGAATGTAGGGAACGTCCGTGATGGAACCAATTTAGAGAACAATCCGCTTTGCTGCGTTGGCGCTGCTGTGATTGGCGTAGTTGCGAGTCGGATGGCTGGAAAACGCACAGCTGCAACGGCTGTGATCCCCGGGAGTACGAGGTGCGGCAAGGTAGCGAGTCTGTGAGCCATTGTGATGTGCGTCGACTTGGCAGAAGAGCACTTTAATTAAACTCAAAAAAAAAACTACAACTGGAGATTGTTCTAGCATTTTTTGAGTGATCCGCACAGCTTTTATGGCAAAGGCCGATGTCTTTTCCGGTAACTTTCAGATGGCACGCAGCACTGTCATAGGATTTTCATTTCAATCACGGCAATTTGCGTTTTCACTGACCAAATGCTTTATGGCAACGATTGCAGAACAGCTGAGTTGAGAAAACGTTAGCACCCGTAGGCGATTTCCGCGCATTGTGGTCAAACCAGAAGAGCCACGCGTTTTTTATCAAAAACAAAAAGCGTTTGAGGGATCAAAAGCTAGGGCATCTTGAAGCTTACGCACACGGAAAGGTGGCTCCACACTTCCAAGCAAAGTCTGTTTTCTGTGCGTTGGTCATACCAGAAAACGACCGCGGGCCGCAGTACCCTGTATAGGATGCCGTCGGGTAGCAGGTTCCATCAGACAAAGTGAAGCCGATGGGGCATCCAGACATATCCATGGGACAGCCACCAGCGTAAAGCTGTTTACGCACCGCCACGTGCGCAGCAACATACGCGTCCTTCTTCAGGCTTTCCAACGCTAGAGCTGACGAAACCTCTTCTGTCAGGGCGGCCGTGCCGGCCGCGATGGCAGCAGCTTCATTGACCGACGCGTTTCCGATGGACTGCTTGTATGCCGAACTGGAGCTGCCGGCCGACATAATGCTAGCTAGACTACTGGCTGCAGCTGCAGCAGAACCCGGGAAAATTGGATCAGCCGACGCGATAGCGGCCACCGCCGAGAGAACAGCAAGACCCAACATATTTTTTTGGCGCAATCAAAAAAAAAAAAAACCAACTAAGTGAGTGGATATGAGTGAAGTATAATTGCGCAATAGGCCATATGTGTGTAAAATACCAAGTTTGATTGCAGTCGCCATTGGCTTTGTGCTATGTGTTCTGATGTCTACTTAGTTGCCATCCCTCCAAGATACACGAGCGCGAGCCCTATGTCGTCGACAAGCGAAGGCATGCAGTGCAGCAATGGACATGTAGTCGACACCGAGATTTGCCACGAAATACTTCTGAACAGAACTGGAGGAAGGAGTTTTTCATATGCACTGACAAGAAGTGGCTTTTTATGCCTGCATACTGTGGCTCGCAATTCTTTATCAGCGTTCTTTGCAATACTCCAATCTCAAAGGGCGAGAACAAAGACTTTACGACCCGGCATTGGTTCCTCAGGCGTGCAGGTGCAGCTGCACGATTGGCGACTGCGTTTTGCGCTCTGGCAGGTAGCCCCCCGACGCTCCCATGATACGCGAGACCAAACCACGCAAGAGGGCTCCTTTGCGGGCTTGCAAGAAGGAGCTTGATTGACCGGTCGTGTAGTCTACTACGGATCCTCCTGCTGCCGCAGCGGAAGCGGCCCCAGTAGAGGACGCGGCCGCCTCATATGCTAGTCCTGCGGACCTGTAGGCCTTGGCGGCTGCGGAAATGTCAGAAAGATCGCTCTCACGCTGAGCCGAGACAAAAACTCCGATCAGGGCGCTCAGCACGACGGCAAGGCGAAACATTTTGTTTTTGAAAAAGCTGGGAGAAAAAACTAACTGGAACTGTAGTGGCTTGGGTGGAAACACATCCTACTTTAGTGGCAGCCTGCGTATTTTTCTGGTGGTTCTTGAAAACGTTGAAACCGCCACGACGTCACTCCGAGCAGAAGATAGCTGCTGGCACGTCTCTCAGCACCACAGTCGAGAACGAACAGACAGAGTCATCAGCCTGTAGACGCACTAGATAACGGGGCTTCGCATTACTTTCTATATGGCGAGAATCTTCGAGTCAAAACAAGGCCCATTTGAATATTTTAACCCAAGGCCGAGGCGATCATACCATTTAGCGCCTTGACAAATTGGATCTGCATGTCCATGATCTTGCCTTGCAAGGCCACCTCTGAAGAGTCGCGGGAGGACTCAGTGGCCTGCAGAAGATCCACGGTTGATGCCCACGGAATGTCAGACGCCTTGACTTTGACGCCGATGGAGCCGGACCCTTTTTGGAGGAAGCTGGCATGGAGCGCACTCTTCAACTCCCCGATCACGATTTTGGCCAAGGCGCCAAACTCTGCAGTGGCCTGTGCAATGGTCTTCGATTCCAAATTTGCGCGAACATTTTCAAAAGCAGCAACACGGCCAGCAGACGCTCCTGATTCCGGGGCGTTCATCACGCGAATGAAAACTGGCGCGCCTTGGAGAAACGAGGAATGATGCACAACAGCGTCAATCTCCGCTTTAGCAGATGCCAGCGCTGCAGTCATGGCTTTCTGGATTCCATTCATCCCGGATGCTTCCATAGCAGACTCTGCCTTTCCGTAGGACGCGAAGCCGCTCCCGGCATCCACCGGAGGCGCTAAGGCTACCTGGATAAGCGGCTCACTGTCAGCAGCAACGCTGCCAATCAAGCACGCTGTGAGAATTTTCCCATACATTTTCCTGAACTGTGAGAGCAGAAAAAAAATCTACTGAGAGGAAGATGTTTGTGTCTGTAAAATGCATAAAATGCACGTGTGCAAGATTTTGTAAGCTACAGTCGATTGCTCTAGTTGCAGGTTTGTTTGAACGAATCTTGGTCTCTCAGTAGTGAACAGAACACGAAGTGGTCCCGGAACTCATTCCTGGCTGGATCAGAAACACTCTGGACTTTAGCAGATGCGACTCAACAACATTTAACAAACACTAGCACATTCTCAACAGGTTGATATCCTAGTGCGAGAGCGCTGCGGCACCGATGGCATTCAAAGCCTTCACCAGCTGCATTTCCTTTGCAAGGATCGTGGTTCTGAGCCTTGTTTCACCCGAGTCGCGACGAGCCTCCATGTCACCCAACAAGGCCGACACAGTCTTGTACGATGGGTCTGCGCCGACGCGCACGTTGATTTCGCGGGAAAAGCGCAAAAAACTTTTGCGTCCGCGTAATTGCTTGTCAAACTCCGCGATCACAACTTTGGCAACCTCTGAAAATTCCTGCTTGGCTGACGAGACCAGAGCACCCATTGCCGCAGAGCGTTTGCCCTCTAACGCTTTGACCCCGGCAACACCCGCGGACTCATCTGAGGTGGCGCCTTCAATACGAACGGAAATGACCGGCTCCGCAATGTTCGCAAAAGACGCACGGCCCATGGCTTTGGAAATGGTGTTCCCGAGCGTTACCGAGGCTTGGGCCAGGGTCGACTTGTACGCGGCGTCGATTTCAGCCAGGGCTGCGTGTTCAGTTGCGAGGCGGCTCGACTCTGCGGCAGCAATAGCACTTGACACCGCTGAATAAGGGGCGGAAGGGGATGCTAAACTCAATTCCACCACCGGCTTGCCAGCGCGGACCAGCACGGCACAGGCACTGAGCGTCGATAGCAGCTTTGCCATACTTGATTTTGGGAAAGACAAGTATATACTGATACACAAAAAAACAGAATCCTGCGTGAGGCAGAAGGACAGACGGGTTGATTGTACGGGAAATCCACGTTGCCTTTTGCGAGAATCTCCGAAATCATGTGCCAATGCGCAGGGTGGAAGATCTCTCACCACGCTCAGACACGAAACACAGACACGAAACGCCGACGCGATCCAAAGCCGGGCGGAGCCAAAGCTTTTTCAATTTTTGCTTTTCAATGGAGGAAATCAAATTCTGAAGAAGTACAGTCCGAGTCAGGTCATTCTCAATCCCCTAGCCCAAAAGATCATGCGCGGTTGCCTCATTTATTTTTTCCATGCTGATCATGGACTGCAGTGCGCTGTTGGCCTGAGCCCGGCGCCGAGCTAAGAGTGCCAAGGATGCTGCCTCAGATCGGCGCATCTCAGCAGAGCGCCGCGCCGCGATTGCATCTGGAATGGCGCTTTCCAACGCAACGTTGATCACTTCAACAGGTCCAGCAGAGCCGTGGGTAAGAATGTCCTTGTATCCGAAGGCGCACCCGATCAGGGCAAAGAACAACGCCGCAACGCGCATCATTTGTTGTAACTTTCCCGTTTGCAAAAAAATCCTGAAGATTCACTTCAGTCACAATAACGAGAGCAACATGACTCCAAGCAAAATATGCGTTTTGATTAGGCGACGAGCGATCTCTCCTGCTTGTCACTTGCTTTTTGTCCAGTCCGTTAGCGAGGAAGAAGCGACTCAGAGCAGAACAGAGAGCAGAAAAGGCCTGCAAGGCTCAGTAAAAGCGAAGTTTTTGAGGGAAATATTCACTTGAATGCGAGAAATCCGCTGCTATTCTCTTGAAATGCCACCCGGGATGCTGTCACGGGATTGTGAGTTCTTATGCACTAGGCACCTTGGCGGAGCCAGATCCAAAGTACGGTGAGTTGACAATGGAGTCCGAGCCCGTGCTGTAAATGTCAAATCCAGATGCCGTATTTTCCAAAGCCGCGAGGGAGGCCGGCGCGACCGGGCACTCTGCGGGGACGGAAGTCGATTCTTCAAAGCTGCTGTACTGCGGCGGCAGGTTGTCACTCCGCAAATACAGAGCCATGGTGCACATTGGCGGGGCAGAGACGGTGCTGCAGGTGTCAGCAATGTCTGTGATCCAAAAACCTGGGCACGCGACCAAAGTGGCGATGCAGCTCGTGAAGCAGAGTGGCAGGCGACCGACCGGGGTTGGCTCGTTGCGGGCCATTGGAGTGGAGCAACGCGGAAAAATGGCGCCGCATTGCATAGACATGTAGGTCTTGAAGCACAGAGAATACGCCACGCCACCCGTTTTGCCAACACGGTCCTTGTACAATGCCGGAAACGAAGCAATGGTGCCATCCAACTGGGCATCAGTCACGTCAGCAGTGACAAAGTCTGCAGCAGTGATGGGGTACAACACGGAGCCGACACAGTTGTGGCCAGTAACCATTGGCATGCAGGGAAGCGGTTGGTTCATCCACACGGGGGGCGGCACCATTGGGGGAACTATCTGCAGCACGGTGGACATTGCAGCCTGAATCAGGCCAGCACCGGTGGCAAGACCATTCATGGCGAGCATCTGAGGCATACCGCCTGCAGCTCCCGCGGCTCCAGATTTGCTTGCTAACTCCGCGACCATCTTGCTGACGTCAAATCCGAAGAGACGCGACACTACCCCTCCCGGAAAAGCTGAAACTCCCTTGACAGCTACCGCAGCTGGGGCAATCCCATAGTCGCAGTGCGGGGTAGACGAGCCGGTTTTGTAGTCCTGCAAAAAGGAGACAGCGGTGTCCAACATGTTCAGGTGCGTTTTGTAAGACTTCACATCAAACTCCTTGGCCATTTTGTCATAGACCTGCAAAAACGCCTGCTCCATTTCTGGAGACTGCTCTTTGAACAAGGCGATATACGCATCAGACCCGTGCAAGTTTTTGTCTGCCATCTCTTGGCTGGTCATCAGTGCGGACGCACCGATTACGCAGAGAGACGCGACCCGCAACATGATTTGATTCTTTGTAACAAAGAAAAAAGTAGCTAAATGCGCGTTAAATGAAGAGGTAGGTTCATGACCGCCAGGAAATGCAATTGTATATGTACGCAAGCCGACGAAGAAATTTGCGTCACTCATTGTCTCTCCACACGAATCCACGGTTGTGCAACGAAGAACATCATGAAATGTAGAAAAAAACAAATATCACGCAAGAGAGCGGGGAGACCTAGAACGCGAGAGAGCGGTGCTTGAGCTGTTTACTTACTTGAAAACAAACGCAAAGGCCTTGGACGCGTTTTTGGAAGTCCTGATTAAGTGAGTTACGCACACGGGAACTCTGCGCCAACACTCTCCGCAACGGCTTGTTTTTCAATAGCCGCCAAACCAGAAAAGGAGACACTGCTTCCAGACGCGGAGACGCAGGCATCACCCGACGGGGCCCATCCCGAAGGACAACCCGCGTAGTTGCGGGCACAGGTCACCGCCGAAAAACTTACACCTTCTGCAACAGCAGCCGCCTGGAGTGCGTCGGATAGGGTAGCCTTGATCATCATGGCCGATTCACTGGGGTGGGCCGCCTTCAAAGAAGATTCTAGACCTGAAGTGAAGAAGTAAAGTTTGACTGTAAGAGTTTTGCACGGTTAATAAAGTCATCATATGTAGTCTGAAAGTTGTAAGCACCACTAAGCAGTTGGAATCTTGTACCTGCCAGTGCTGGAGCGCGCAAAAACGACGCACGATCAGCGATAACATTCACAACGGGAACGTCGCCTTTGTTCACATCAGTGAAGATTTCTTTAGGCAGGTCGAATGGGACAGTTGCCAAGCAGGATGCGATCCCGCAGGCGAATGCCACGACGAACGACTTCATGGTGTGGGCTAGTTGTATTTGAAAGAAACGCAGCTACAGCTTTGGTAATTGCAGATGCAATGGTGATGCGGCTCGAGTTGCGTCCTCACGGTTGTACAAGCACGCCAGTTTGCTGCCGCTTTTGTTTTTGTTCATCTACACTCACCAAACAATGTGAACACACGAGTCATTGGTTTTGCAGAAAAAGAGAGCGAGTGAGCTCCGGACGTAAGCGCATTCACAGGGAATTTGATTGTATTCAGTTCAGACATGTCTGAATTGCTGTGCCTTTCCCGAGAGTCCTGCGCCCGCGAGACAAGACTGAGGAAGCGGTTTAGTGGTAGAGCGAACCCGCCAGGGAGTCCGCCGCCATAGCTCCAGCCTTCAACTGTGCGATCTCCTCTTCAGCCCCATAAACACGACTTGGCGACGGCAGCACGATGTTTGTGTGGCCATAGGCGCCGGTTGCAGAGTCACTAGACTGGAACGAGACCGGCATGTTGGTCAGGAACGTGATCAAAGAACCGGCCATGTCCCTGGTGGCATCTGGGGTACTTTCCTTCTGTGCGAGATTTTTGACTTTGAACAGGAGGGGCTGCATGGCAACGCGAGCATTGGGCAGAGAAGCAAGATCCAACAATCCTGCGACACCATGCTGTGCAGAATAGCCACCAGCGTCAACGAGCGACCCGTAGTAGCTGACTGCATCTTTGAAAACAGATCCATCTGCACCCTCACGCTGGAGATCGGATAGCGGCGTGCGCAGAAAGGATTTGTGTGCCGCGCGTTCTAACATCTGCACTTCCTGTTGCTCGACGCCAGCCAGTGCAGTTGCAGCGGCAGCACGATCAGCTGCGAGCGACGCAGACGCGGTCTCACCTACGTGCAAGTTCAACACGGGACGCTGCAAGAAGCTGTACTTTTTAGCCGCAGCGCTCATCACTGCCTCCACGCCGGCGTTGCGCAGCACTGGTTGGGCCAGCGCAGGCGCAATTTTTTGCTGAAAATCCGCGGAATTCGAGCTGATTCCAGCAGAGAGCGCCTCACCCAATTGTTCACCGACCGCGAAAGACGGCATAGCCGCCTCAGCAACGGCAGCGAAAGTGCAGGCGACGAAAAGTTTTGACATCTTCCTGGCGATGATTCCACGAAAAAAAACACGACGCCAAGGACTTGTGCTACGGCAAGTCAAGCAACATTTCTCTTTGATTTCTCTTTGATTACGCGGGCTGATTCTGTCTCTTTGATTACGAGTATTGCATTTTTTGGGTGGCCGCTCGTTGTCACGACACATGAGCACGAATTTAGGAACACATATGAACGTGAGACGCTGGAAAATACATTGTGGAAAATGGGAATCAAAAAACTATCAGGATTTCATCAGTGTATTGTCGCGTCCGATTTTTTGACACGTCACCGGTTTGGCATCCTGCCTATGGCGGGCTGGCCACTAACGGGCTGCCAATAACCTTGCATTTGCTGGTGACGGCCTGTTTTGTGTAAAGGGAAGGAAATCATGGGAAAGCCTCCTGATCCGGCGCGACGCAATTAATCACAAAAGAAAAGCTACACGGATCCCCCCGTACTAGTCTATAGAAAAAATAGCTGAATAGTGTACCTTTGTGGCCTCCCAAACCGAATTATTGATGCCCCAGACCTTTCCCATCAACGAGTGGACCGGTCCGCAAAACGGAGCGAATCTGAGCAAGCACGTGCTGGCGGTGTAAACGTCGATGCAGGCACACAGAATTTTGGTCGCAACACCCAATACATGGATTGGGAGGTTGATGGCTTGGTAGATGGCCAGGGTCGCGACACGACCGAAGTTGCAGCGGTTGCCCAGTGCCTCCACCAGCTTGCAGGACTTGGCGTCAAGGTATGCCAAACAAAAATACCATTTCTGTCCGATTCTCAAACCGCATGTAAGCTCTAACTAAGCTCTCCGTCACTCCGTGAATACACCTGAGTTTCAGTACTGAATGCAAGAATTACATTGTTGTCTGGGCATTTTGGTAGTTTTGTTTATGATAAAAAGCAGGGCGCGTCCATCATTGGAACAGCAGACGACAAGGTGCTGCGCTCTTTCAAAAAGGCGCTGTGGGTTGCCTGGAACTCAGCTAGCGCCGTGGTCGGGTCCTCATGCTCCACAGCGGCTTGGAATTCCTTCATTTTGTTGAAAGTGTCAGCGGTTTGTTCCTGAAGTGCAGACAGGACCGTTTTGCCATCCTTCTGTGCAGTCGACATCACGGAATCCCAGTACTTCACGCATTCCGCACCACAGTCCTTGCTCAACACCTCGCGGACCTCATTCAGCTTATCCAGCGGCACCTCAGTGTGCTGTGCAGGGAGGGACAGCAGACGGTTCCCCGCGGTGATCCGCTGCGACATGGACAGAGCGCTGGCGCCCGCCACAACCGTCAAGGATACAGCAACTTTCATCTTAGTGTCTCAGTTTGGGAAAAAAACGCACTATTTGGGAGACGAATGCGTTGGAAAGACTCAATGATTGACTTGGAGGGTTTGGCCATTTGATTTTGACAAAAGACCGGAAGAGCAAAAGCCATTTTGGTGCGGTCGCGCCCAGACGAACACATCATGACGACATAAGGGATGAAGGACCAGTTTGGGTCTCTGTGTAGGTTAGTTACTAACTTTTATCAGGAGACTGTTATTGTCACTTGTTTACATTGTTGGAGTGCCACTGCTTACACGCGCAAGCTAGCGAGACCCGCAGAAAAGGCTTGCATATCATAAGCAGCTTGGCTAGAGTCAGCGACGGAGGAAGCCGACGCAGTAAACTCAGGGCGTTTCTCCACGATGTTGACCTTCGCCGGAGAGTCGGTCCGCATTGGCTGCGTCAAAAACAAAGCCTCCTTGACCATGCCTGGAGATCCGGCCCACGCAGCAGCCCCAGTTTTAAGGAAGGAAGTTTTGCCCATGACTTGGGAGTGCATGAACGCCTGAATGCGAGCCTCCAATGCAGCAATGTCTTTGGCGCTTGCTGTCAGGTGTCCCGGGCCAGCAACTTTGATTGACTCTGCAGTGCAGCAGGCAAAAAAAGCCGCAACCGCGATAAAGAGTGTACGCAGCATTCTTCGCAAGAAGTTCTAGTTTCAGGTTCTCTATTCAAAAAAAGTGCTACAAGGTTGAGAGGAGACCGTGCAATGTTAGTCAAGCAGACAGTGTTGTAGTAAAACGTTAGGCGACGGCAGCTTTGGCATCAGGTTTGAGTGCACAGCATTCACTCCGCTCTGGACGTATCCGAGTCCTAGCCTGTCTCTCAAGGCAGCGTCGAACGAACAGAATGATGAGAATGATTGAGGCTACACAGCCCAGCGAAGAATCTGAGGAGTGGGGTTCTCTATTCCAACTTAGAAACGATTACACTAGAAGAGTCACGCTTAGCTGCGGTAATCAGGCGACACAGGTTGCTGCTTAGTACGCGACATCGCAGAAGATCTGCGCTTCTTGCTTCTCCGCGACGCTCAGGTCAGACGGCAGGCCTCTGGTGCAGAAACCCGAGTAGCTTCCGGTAGGATTGCACGTTCCCGCGGTCTCCACCCATCCAGACGGGCAGGTAGCGGTCGGTCCAGTGAGTCCAGAGAGCTTAGTCGCGGCCGCCGCAACCTGTTGGGCAATTGTGGACAAATCACCGCTGGACAGTCCGGTCAGCTTCAGAAAGCTCGCAGCACCCGTGGAGTAAGGCAAAGTAAACTTGCCGACGGTCGTGGGCGACGACCCCATTGCGGCTTTCACCGCTGCTGTGAGCTGCTTCTCCTCCGGCGATGACGGAGCGGCAGCAGCAAACGCTTCAGCGCCCGCGAGTAAATCTCCGGTCACCCCTCCCAACTTCGCATCCGACGGCATGGTGGCAGCAGTCAATCCAGCCGCACCTCCTCCAGACAGCGAGCCGATAAGCCCGGACGCTGCCGACGCACTGTCCCTCACTTTGAGGGCAGAGGCGGCTCCAAAAAGGCAGAAAACAACGCGCATGTTGCTCGACTGCAATATCAAATAGATTTGTTGGTTCTAATTTTGTTGGTCATGGACACACAATGAGCAGAAAAATAAACCTGGTGGGCCGTTTAGATTCCAATCTCTCCGCGAAACAGCATATTACGAGGACTATAAATTTGCTTACCACATTTGTTTCTCATCACTCAGCGATTGGGGTGATGACGACTCATACGGAACACAAAAGAAGAAATTATTCTGATGGAGCGCATGAAGAACTCACGAAGCAGAGTCGAGATTTCAAAAGCGAAACGTAGACGCGTTTTTCATCAGTCAAATGTAGGAAGGTCCGCTCGAGCGACTCCGGGCGCCAAGCAGAGATTTAGCGCAGCTGTGACTGCAAGCTGGAAATGGCCTGCATCTCACCCTTGACAGTTGCGATATCTGCACCGGAGACGAAGGTCGGAGTCTCAATGTCCACGTTCAGCACCGGAGCGGAGCGCGGCACTTCATCACCACTCAGGAAGGAGCTGTGGGACATTTCAGCTTCCAAGCTAGCAAGGCGCTTGGCCGCGTACGCAAATCCGTCAGCCGTCAGGCGCGCCATATCTACCTTCTTGCCCTTTGAAGCGGAGTCAACCATCACGTGCACAGTCGGCTCACGGAAAGGAGAGGCCTTCAAGAAGGACGCGCCCAAAGCAGCGGAGCGAATGGCTTGGAAGGATTTTTCAATGCTCTGCTCAAGCGACGTCTTGATGGATTGGTACTCACTTTCCAGGACTGAGGCTGGGGCACCTGCTTCAAAGTACACGTCAGTCTTGCCCTTTTGCAGAAAGGACGCGGCTTTCAACGCGGCCAATTCCTGGGTGAACCCTGCATGTGGCACGTCATAGTGGATGTCGATCACAGACGGGAGCGAGGCCTGCATGGTGGACTGAATGGCAACTGGCGGCACGAAGGGCTCCAGAAAGCTGGACTTGCCGCGCACGATCCGGCCGATCTTCGCGATCTCTGCAGAGAGCATAGCCTGCTTGAGGGATGCGTCCGCGGCAGCTTCGGCCGACGACTTTGCAGATTCAGTTTTGAAAATAGACGAGACGGCAGCGTCAACCGCCGCCTTGTCTTCAGCAGGAGCGTGCAACACGAATTCATGATCAGCAGCTGGAGCGAGCGACGAATAACCCTGGAGAAACGAGTGGTGCGCGCCAACGATGCTGTGAACCTTGGCAATCTCTGCGCTCAGAAGGCGTTGCTTGTCCGCTAGCCCCGCCGCTTCCAGACCCTTTTCATGGGCCTTCTCAACAGCCATCAGCGCATCAATATCAGCGTTTGCCTCGGCAGATGGCATGGAGGGGGGCATCAGGTTCAAAGTGTAAGGAGTCGCGTCGGCGACCTTACCCGCAATGCCCGATGCCACACCCGGCGGAACCATTTCCAGCGGGTCAGGGAACATCCGCGCACCATGAGCGCACAGGGAAGTTGCTGCAAGCACACGAAACATCTTGTTTCTGTGACTAACAAAACAAAGAAAAAGATTCACTACAAGGATCATACACTTGAAATAAGCATTGCAGACCACATCTTGGAGCTTGCGAAGTTTGATAGGCCTTTTGCATTTGCAGCACCTCACTTGCATCTTTTGCGCTCATTCTTTGGGGCGACGATTTGCGCTCATTCTGTAACGTTAGAACAAAACGACACCTAAAGGAGTGGATTTCAGACCTTTTGTCGCGGTCCGTCAGAAAACTCTGATTCAATCATTTGCACTGATATTCACGCACAGGTCCGCGTTGCTCTTGGATCATCAGTTCAGCATCCTCCCGGACAGGACGCAGCCGCCGAGGCGTAGGTCGGGTGCGGCCGGGGGGCATGCTCCATACCCAACATCATTTCCCGGAAGGCAGCCAAGCCCGTGGTGTCCGGCTGCGGCGGGACCGGGAGACTTCCCATGGCGCCCAGAATCGCATCGCCTTTGCGCAGAAAACTGGAGGGAGTGAGCGCCGCCAGAAGGGCCTGCAGGTGTTTTTGAGTACAGAGTGAGTATGTTATTTTTCCCGAGCAGAAAAATGTGTGAACAAACGAGCGACGAGAATATGCAGATTCACAAAGAAAGAGTATTATACTTTATCAGAACGCAACTCCTGAGCCGCCGCAGCGATACGATTGTCCATCGCCAAGCCGCTTTCCATGGACGACATGGCCGAAGCCGCGTCAAAGGCCGGGAAGTGGTACCGGACGTTCACTTCTGGCAGGCTGTGGGCAATTTCACCAGTGAATTCTGCTTTTTCAGCCGGGAGGCCGTAATTTCCGGGGGCCGTCGGCGAGTTAAACGCCGTGAAGCCAGCGACGAGCGTCGCGCACGATGCAAAAACAGTAAAGCGCATTGTCAATGTAAAAGACGGGTGTGTCAGAGTCTGCCACAAGAGAAAAAAGTTTGATTCTGCAATAAGTACAAAAAGAGCCTTTGAGATATGTCAGAGCGACATCAGAAAGCGTACCAACGATTAGTAGCGAACGAAGCAACTCAAATTTCTCTCTTGCGATTTGAGAATGACGCCGAGGGAAATACAATTAGATCCAAATTCATCCACTTGCTCACGCATACGGAGATATCTTGCTTCACTTTTCACTTTTTTCATCCAGCTGCGCTCACCGAGCAGGAACGTTTTCTGGCGAATTTGCCAACGAGTCAGTTGCTTTTGCGAAACGAACATCTGAGCAATTTTGCAGGAGGAGGCTGCTTGAGCGGCGATAAGGGCTTCCAGTTTCTTTCTCATAATTTCAAATCTGTTTTTCTTGTATATTTGGGCAGGAGAATGCTTGAGCAACTAAAAGTCAGATCTTTGCCTAGAGACAAAAACTCCAGCTCCCTACGCGCACGGGAAGCTAGCTCCGCACTTCCAGGCGAAGTCCGTCTTCTGTGCGTCGCTCATGCCAGAGAACGACTGCGGGCCGCAGTATCCCGTGTAAGAGGCGGTGGGGTAGCAGGTTCCACCAGACGCAGTAAATCCGATGGGGCAACCGGACATGTTCATTGGGCACCCGCCAGCGTACAACTGCTTCCTGACTGCTATGTGGGCTGCGACGTAAGCGTCCTTCTTCAAACTTTCCAGAGCCATTGCGGAAGACACTTCCTCCGTGAGTGCTGCAGTTCCCGCGGCAATAGCGGCAGCTTCATTGGCAGACGCATTCCCAACGGACTGCTTGTAGGCAGTACTGGAGCTTCCCGAGGACATGATTCCGGCCAACGTGCTGGCGGCAGCAGCGGCAGAGCCGGGGAAGATTGGATCAGCCGACACAGCGGCGACCAGAGCGGAGAACACAGCAACACCGAACATGGTTTGGTAAAGTGGAGTGAAAAACAACGCGACTCTATCAAATGGAGGCGTGTTGATTTAGGAGGTTGTCGTTTTGGGTGTGTGCAAAGAGACTTTTGTTTTCACTCCGGAGCGCTGGCAACCATGAGCGCCAACACGACTTCACTCATCACGAATCTTGCATTTTTTTTCACTCAGTGCGCGCCATATGATTCTTACCAGACAGCAAATTGTTGGAACAGCAAGCAGCTACGAACGCTGCAATTGCAACTGCGGTCGGGTAGCAACTGTGGCGCACCTGATAATCATAGCAGTGTTAAGAATTTGACAACTCCAAACTGAAAATCAAGACAATTGTTAAGAAGCTGAGACGGCGTCTTTCAAAAGCCCAACCCTGAAAACTCAGGCGTGCAAGTGCAGCTGAACAATGGGAGACTGCGTCTTGCGCTCCGGCAGATAACCACCGGAAGCTCCCATGATGCGCGAAACCAAACCGCGTAGCATTGCTCCTTTGCGCAGAAAAGAGACGGATTGGCCGGTTGTGTAGTCGACGACAGATCCTCCCGTGGCAGCCGCCGACGCGGCTCCTGTGGATGCTGCAGCAGCCTGATAAGCTAGCCCCGCCGATTTGTACGCCTTGGCGGCTGCGGAAATGTCAGACAGGTCGCTCTCACGCTGGGCGGAGACAAAAGCTCCAAAAAGGGCAGTGAAGATGAGAGCAAGACGAAACATTATATATTTCTTGATCCGTGAGAAACGGAGTAACAAAAAAATGAATCCTAATTTCACAATAGTTTGTTCAGAAGCGGTTGCTTTTTGTGGGGCGAATTCCGCGAAAAAAATTTTGCAGCGTTCTGGACAGTCACTCATTTCAGCCTACCTGAGAATCTTGCCTTGGTATTTGCGATGGTCTCAGGGAACGCAGTTTGAAGAGCACGAACTCACGCTGAACACGCCATTTGCGCTTGGATCCTGTGCACGAGGAAAAGTGGCCCAGCTGCCACTGTAGATTCACAAATATCATCGCGGCCTGCACTTTTCATTTAACGCGCAACATTCAGCAGAATTGTCAGCACAAATGCTGTTGGAACGTAGAGACGGAATTTAGCCCAATGCAGAGGCGATCATCCCGTTCAACGCCTTGACGAACTGGATCTGCATGTCCAAGATTTTGCCCTGCAGAGCAACCTCCGACGCGTCGCGCGAGGATTCAGTGGCCTGCAGCAGATCCACGGTGGACGCCCACGGAATGTCAGAAGCCTTGACCTTGACGCCGATAGATCCCGCTCCTTTCTGCAGAAAACTCCCATGCAGCGCGCTCTTCAACTCCCCGATGACAATCTTGGCCAGAGCGCCAAACTCCGCGGTGGCTTGCGCAATGCGCTTGGATTCCAGATCAGATCGCACGTTTTCAAAAGCCGCAACGCGACCAGCGGAAGCACCCGACTCCGGGCCACTCATCACGCGAATGAAAACTGGTGCGCCTTGCAGAAAGGAGGAGTGGTGTACCACAGCGTCAATCTCTGCCTTTGCGGATGCCAGTGCGGAAGACATGGCCTTCTGGAGACTGCTCACGCCAGAAGCTTCCATGGCGGATTCCGCCTTCCCATAGGACGAGAAGCTACTCCCCGCATCCACTGGCGGCGCCAGGGCAACTTGGATCAGCGGCTCACTATCAGCAGCAACGCTGCCAACGAGGCACGCAGCAAGGATCTTGGAGTACATTTTTGTAGATTTGTTGACAAAAAAGATGCTCTAGGTCGAAACAGAAATCACAAAAGAGTTGAAGAAGCGGAAGTGTGTGCTTTTGATTTGCAATGACTCTTTGAGCTGTTTGTCTCTCCGCTCAGAACCTTTTTTTTGCAGGTTTGGCTCTCCGCTCACAATGAAACACGGAAACGCGAGGGCAAAGTGCCATAACCAAGTTGGCCGCAGACGTGATGCAGCAACGTAGGAGCGCTGAATTGATCCAAAGCTTTCATCTAACTTTCAAATGCGTGGGTTAGTCTTTGTGGATAAGGTTGCAACTCTGCCATTTAGTGGGACAAAGCAGCTGCGCCGATGGCATTCAAAGCCTTCACCAACTGCATTTCCTTGGATAGAATGGCCGCTCTCAGCCGAGTCTCCCCCGAGTCGCGACGAGATTCCATGTCGCCCAACATGGCGGAAACAGTCTTGTACGATGGATCCGCTCCGACGCGCACGTTGATCTCCCGGGAAAACCGCAAAAAGCTTTTGTGCCCGCGCAATTGCTTGTCAAACTCCGCGATCACAACCTTGGCAACTTCGCCGAACTCTTGCTTGGCCGACGACACGAGGGCACCCATAGCTGACGCACGCTTGCCTTCCAAGGCCTTGACACCGGCAACACCAGCGGATTCATCCGAGGCAGCACCTTCAACGCGAACAGAGATGACCGGCTCCGCAATGTTGGCAAAGGACGCACGACCCAGGGCCTTGGAAATGGTATTGCCAAGGGCGACTGAGGCCTGCGCAAGCGTCGACTTGTACGCCGCGTCGATCTCAGACAAAGCCGCATGCTCAGCCGACAGGCGGGTGGATTCCGCAGCAGCAATAGCACTAGACACTGCGGGATACGGAGCCGACGGAGACGCTAGGCTCAACTCCACCACTGGCTTCCCAGCCTGCGCCAGTGCGGCGCAAAGGCCGATTGTGGCGAAAATCTTGGCCATGATTTTATTTTTGTAGAAAAAGTAGCTGTTGGTGTTGCTGTGGGATGTTTTTTTGAAATAGGTAACAGTGATGCTTCCAGCCTTGCCGCGTAGCTGTTTGACTTTTGATAGACTCTCACGACCGCAACGAGGGATTATGAAAGTGTAGACGAAATAGCTCTCACTGACGCTCTTCAACAGAACAGCTTTGGGCGAAGCGAATCACTGGAACGCCAGCTGAGGCAATGTTTTTATTTCAAACTTTCTTTACTCATTTCAGCATTTAGAAATTTAGGTCCAGTAAACGAGAACCCGAGGTGCTTAGAGGCCGAACGGCTTAACCAAGCAAGTCCCGCGCGGTAGCCTCATTCATCTTCTCCATGCTGATCATTGACTGCAAGGAGCTGTTAGCCTGGGCACGCCGACGAGCCAAATTTGCCAACGAAGCGGCTTCAGAGCGACGCATTTCAGCGGAACGACGGGCCGCGATGGCATCTGGAATAGCGCTCTCCAGAGCGACATTGATCACCTCCACAGGCCCAGCGGAGCCGTGAGTGAGAATGTCCTTGTACCCGAAGGCGCACCCGATAAGTGCGAAGAAGAGTGACACAAGGCGCATCATTTGTTTGTTGTTTTTCAGGTTAGCAAAAAAATCTATGGATGGATTTCAAATTTGATACATTTTTGGAAATATGGTGTCCGCAAGGGAGGACCAGGATGATGCATTCCAGAGGGAACGGTCTCTCAGCTGCTTTTCTCACTCAGGCGGACCTCTGCACGAGCAACAGAAACAAATTGCGAACACCGTCTTGGAGTAGCGTAAGAAAATGAAGCAGGAGTTTTAGTTCCATTGATTTTGGCAAGCTGAAAAAATATTGTGAATCTCACGAGAAGTGTGCGGTGTGACACCCTAGATGGCTATGAGGCCGCTGCAGCTTATGCACCTGGCAGCTTGGCCGTGCCAGCGCCGAAGTACGGCGACGCGACAATGGAGTCGGATCCCGTGCTGTAGATGTCAAACCCGGATCCCGCGTTCTCCAGAGCCGCAAGAGAGGCGGGCGCAACGGGGCATTCCGCGGGAACAGTGGTCGACTCTTCAAAGCTGATGTACTGGGGCGGCAAGTTGTCACTGCGCAAATACAGAGCCATGGTGCACATTGGCGGGGCGGAGACGGTGCTGCAGGTGTCAGCAATGTCTGTGATCCAGAAACCCGGGCAGGCGACCAAAGTAGCAATGCAGCTGGTGAAGCACAGCGGCAGGCGACCGACCGGGGTTGGCTCATTGCGCGCCATTGGAGCGGAGCAGCGCGGAAAGATGGCACCGCACTGCATAGACATGTAGGTCTTGAAGCACAGGGAGTACGCCGCGCTGCCCGTCTTTCCAACCCTATCCTTGTACAAGGCGGGAAACGAAGCAATTGTGCCATCCAACTGCGCATCAGTGACGTCAGCAGTGACAAAGTCCGCGGCGGTGATAGGGTAGAGAACGGACCCGACACAATTGTGACCAGTGACCATGGGCATGCAGGGCAGCGGCTGGTTGATCCACACCGGCGGCGGCACCATGGGGGGCACGATCTGGAGCACAGTGGACATTGCGGCTTGAATAAGGCCGGCACCCGTGGAGAGACCGTTCATTGCAAGCATTTGCGGCATTCCCCCCGCCGCGCCCGCAGCACCCGACTTACTAGCCAAGTCCGCAACCATTTTGCTGATGTCAAATCCAAAAAGACGGGAGACGACGCCGCCAGGAAACGCGGACACGCCTTTCACTGCTGCTGCCGCGGGAGCAATTCCATAGTCGCAGTGCGGGGTAGAAGACCCTGTCTTGTAATCCTTCAGGAAAGAAACAGCGGTGTTCAGCATGTTGAGATGAGTCTTATAAGACTCCACGTCAAAGTCCTTGGCCATCTTATCATAGACTTGCAGAAAAGCTTCCTCCAACTCCGGCGACTTCTCCTTGAAGAGAGCGATGTACGCATCATTCTCTTGCAGGTTTTTGTTCACCATCTCCTGGTTGGTCATCAGCGCAGAAGCGCCAACGACGCAGAGGGACGCAACGCGAAACATTGTTTGCTTTTTCCAAGCGAAAAAAATTGGCTAATTGGAGTTTGATGACATTAGTTCAAGATGGCACGCCGGTTTGACTTTATTGTTTGCTACGACGGTTTGACTTTATTGTTTGCTACGATTTTGACAACAACGCCATCCACTCAGAACACTCCACGACAATTCTTTCTGTGGGCAAGGGAGCCTACTATTATAGTGATTCACGGCGGAGGCACAGAATTCCTCAACAAATGTTCAGACTGGGCAGATCCACTTTTGGTCAAAATCTTCACGCACACGGAAACTGTGCACCAACGGATTCTGCTACGACTTGCTTCTCAATAGCGGCCAAGCCCGAGAAAGATACACTGGCCCCGGAACTGGACACGCAGTTGTCTCCTGAGGGCGCCCATCCAGACGGGCATCCTGCGTAGCTGCGCGCACACGTCACAGCAGCGAGACTCACACCTTCTGCGACGGCGGCAGCCTGCAACGCATCCGACAGTGTGGCCTTGATCATCATGGAGGATTCATTTGGGTGCGCCGCCTTTAATGAGGATTCCAGACCTGCTAATGCTGGAGACCGGAGGAAAGACGCGCGGTCAGCGATGATATTCACGATGGGAACGTCTCCTTTGTTCACGTCAGTGAAGATTTCTTTGGGAAGGTCGAATGGCACTGTCGCCCAGCAGGACGCAATCCCGAACGCAACGGCGCCGAAAAAAGCTTTCATTTTGATGAAGCCTACCTTGAAAAAACACTGCTACTATTTTGTTGATTAGGACCGTGAAAGCGAGCATTTTCACGTAAGACAGAAGTCTTTTTTGATGCAGGCACTGCGCGAGGTGGCCCTGTTTGTCTCTCACTCCCAGCGAAAAAAGGCCAATGATAACGCATGAACACTATGCCACGAGTTTCACTGACACTGCTAGAAGAATACTGCCAGAAGATGAATTTCATTTGTAAGCATTGCAAAGAAGTGTTTAGTTTTCCACTGTTAAGGCAGTGTGCTCAGAAGAGGATAGCGGAGCGTCTTCCTAATGGTACAAAGAGCCCGTCAAAGTGTCAGCGGCCATTGCTCCCGCTTTCAATTGCGCGATCTCCTCCTCAGCCCCATAGACGCGGCTTGGCGATGGCAAGACGATGTTGGTATGACCGTACGCACCCGTGGCGGAATCACTGGACTGAAAGGACACCGGCATGTTGGTGAGGAACGTAATGAGCGACCCCGCCATATCCCGCGTGGCGTCAGGGGTACTTTCCTTCTGCGCCAGATTCTTGACTTTGAAAAGAAGCGGCTGCATAGCGACGCGAGCTTTGGGCAAGGAAGCAAGATCCAACAGGCCAGCGACACCGTGCTGCGCAGAATAGCCGCCAGCGTCGACAAGCGAGCCGTAATAGCCGATTGCATCTTTGAAGACAGATCCGTCCGCGCCCTCACGCTGCAGGTCAGAAAACGGCGTCTTGAGGAAAGACTTGTGCGCCATGCGTTCCAGCATTTCCACCTCTCCCTGCTCCACACCACTGAGGGCAGCAGCAGCCGCGGCCCGGTCACCCGCGATGGATGCAGAAGCGGTTTCACCGACGTGCAAGTTCAACACGGGACGCTTTAAAAAGCTGTACTTTTTGGAGGCCGCACCCATCACCGCTTCAACGCCCGCATTGCGCAGGACGGGCTGAGCAAGCGCAGGCGCCACTTTCTGCGCGAAGCCCGCAGAGTCTGCACTGATTCCCGCAGACAGGGCCTCTCCCAATTGCTCTCCCAGGGCAAACGAAGGACGAGCGGCCTCCGCGACGGCCGCGAACGTGCAGGCGACGACGAACTTGGCCATTTTGAATAAAGTTTGAAGAGGAAAAAAATAGCAGGACCTAGAAGAATGGACAAAATGATATAGACATCTGCACGTCACAGCGATGCCTTCCACGAGGAATGCAATCACTCCGAAGTGCGTGCTCTTTGGTTTCTCTCCTCTACGATCATGTTTGAAGCAAATACTGAACACCGACGACGAGCGCAATGGCCGCCCCTCCCGTATGCGTTTTCATTCTTCTCAGGATTACATTGCTTTGCTGAATAGTGTGTGAAAATCAGCGGCACGAGATAGGTTGACGCTTAAGGCTGACGCTTAAGGTGGGCTGGCAACTAACGGGCTACCAACGACCTTGCAAGTGCTGGTGACCTTCTTGGTGGCTTCCCAGATTTGGTCATTGATTGACCAAATCTTGCCCATGACATTGTAAACGGGGGGGCACCAAGGAGCAAACCGCAGCACGCACACGGAGGCAGTGAAGACATCAAGGCACGCACAGAGGATTTTGGTCGCAACCGCGAGAACGTGGATGGGCAGGTTTACAGCCTGGTAGATTGCCAGAGTCGCGACGCGGCCAAAGTTGCACCTGTTTCCTAGAACCTCCACGAGCTTGCAGGACTTTTCATCAAAACACGGGGTGTCCAGCATTGGCATGGCGGCAGAGAGGGTGCTTCGTTCCTTGATGAAGCTGCTGTGTGTCTTCTGAAACTCCGCGAGAGCAGTGGTCGGGTCGTCATGCTGGACCGCAGCCTGGAATTCTTGCATTTTGGCGAACGTGTCATGCATGTTGTCCTGGATTGCGGACAGGAATGTTTTGCCTTCCTTCTGGGCCTTGCTCAGCAGCCCGTCCCAATACTGCACGCAGCTGTCTCCGCAATCCTTCTGTATATATTCCCGCACCTCATTCAGTTTGTCCAGCGGCACCTCCGACTGCGGCTGAGCCGGGAGTGACAGCAGGCGTTGTCCAGCAGCGGCGCGTTGGGACATGGAAAGAGCATGAGCGCCCACAACAGCGGTGAGGGGCAGGATCACTTTCATCTTCTGGTTGGGACTTGCAGAAAAAACGCTAGAATCTGGTTTCATGGGTAGAAAAGATCAACAAATAGCAATACAATAGAATGTAGGTAGCGCCATTTGCGCGAATGCCCGAGCAGTGCTCTGCAGTCGGTTTTGCCTTCACTCAAATGTTTCTGTTGTCTCTTGTGGTGCCCGTATAGCTTGGCGAGGGAACACTGCACACGATAAGAGGCGAGTGGGATTGGATTCATTTTTGAGCTTATTTCAAGAAGTAAGAACTAAGACAAGAGAAAAAAATATCAACCATCCTTGGCTCAGGGAAGGACTTAACTAAAAACCACTGCCTTAGTTGCGCAGGCTGGCCATTCCAGCGGAGAATGACTGCAAGTCGTACGCAGCCTGAGAAGCATCCGCGACGGACGACGCAGAGGCAGAGAATTCCGGGCGCTTCTCAATGATATTCACCTTAGCCGGCGAGTCGGTCCGCATGGGCTGAGTCAGAAACAAGGCCTCTTTCACCATACCCGGAGATCCCGCCCAGGCCGCAGCTCCTGTCTTCAAAAACGAGGCCTTGCCCATAAATCCAGACACTTGCGCGTGCATAAAAGCGTCAATGCGCGCTTCCAGTGCAGTGATGTCCTTGGCGCTTGCAGTGAGATGAGACGCTCCCGTTACCTTGATGGACTCACCTGCACAGCAGGCGGTGAAACCCGCTAAGGCAACGATGATGGCTCTAAACATTTTTGATGCTAGTGCGGAACTACTCCAGACTGTTTTCAGCTCTATATTTTGTGACAGGTAGCTTTTTGATTCTATGGTCGGAAAGGAAACCCTGACTGCAATTTTTTGGTCGACGTCCCTCACATCAGAAACTAGGCAAGTCACTCTTCCCTCCCTCTGCCACTGCAGCATCAACAAAGCGACGATGACGAGAACGTGGAACAATGGCACCATGGTGCCAGCACACACATCCAAAGCACAGAGCTGGTTTAATAAAAAAGCTTTTCTCTATCTAGCATCCAGTTTTTAAGACTGCGAGCTGTTCACCGGTCTGAGCATACCGAGCCTCCAGTTTCTAGTATTTCACGTCGCAGAAGATTTGTGCCTCTTCCTTCTCAGCGATGCTCAGATTGGCCGGCAGACCCTTTGTGCAAAAACCACTGTAGCCCGCTGCAGGGTTGCAGGTTCCCGAGGTCTCCAACCAGCCCGCCGGGCAGGACGCGGTCGGTCCGCTGAAGCCGGATTTTTTAGCTGCGGCCACCGAAACGCGTTGCGCAATTGTGGACAAGTCACCGCTGGATAACCCTGTCAATTTCAAGAAGCTTGCGGCGCCAGTAGAGTATGGCAGCGTGAACTTCCCAACGGTCGTCGGCGATGATCCCATGGCGGCCTTGACAGCAGCGACGAATTGCTTGTCCGCAGGCGATGCTGGCGCGGCAGCTGCAAACGCTTCAGCGCCCGCAAGTAAATCACCCGTGATTCCGCCCAACTTTGGGTCAGATGGCATTGTAGCAGCGGCCAAACCAGTTGCACCTCCCCCGGAAAGCGAGCCGATCAAACCTGATGCAGCTGATGCACTGTCACGCATTTTAAGGGCAGACACAGCCCCGAATAAACAGAAGACCGTCCGCATCTTGTGCAGGAGTACAGAAAAAAAGAAAACTACTGTTTTTGATGTAGAGAGGAAGATTGCGCCGAATGATGGTGACAAGGAAAAATCTGGAGTATTGCGATGGAAATTTGAAACACTCTAACCCTCAGGAAATGCATCCAACTCACGAAAACTCATTGCGTCGTCGCGTGGTCGAAAATCTGAAAACGAGCGATGGAACAGGGCAAGCATCCAAAGCGCAAGCCAAAAGCGCGGACTAAATTTGTCAAAGGAAGAACCGACATAGATCTATTGCTGAAGCATAGCGAGTCTCACAACATGTGGCCTCTAGTCACCATTTTGATTCTCTAGCGCAGCTGCGACTGCAGGCCAGAAATGGCTTGCATCTCACCCTTCACCGCGGCGATATCAGCGCCGGAGACGAAGGTCGGAGTCTCAATGTCCACATTGAGTACCGGAGCCGGGCGCGGCACTTCATCACCGCTGAGGAAGGAGCTGTGAGCCATTTCTGCTTCCAGGGCTGCGAGGCGTTTGGCGGCGTAGGCGAATCCGTCAGCAGTCAGACGGGCCATGTCAACCTTCATGCCTTTGGAAGAGGAGTCAACCATCACGTGCACGGTCGGTTCCCGGGCCGGGGAGGACTGCAGAAAGGAAGAGCCGATCGCGGCCGCCCGGATGGCTTGAAAGGATTTTTCAATGCTCTGCTCCAGCGACGCCTTGATAGATTGGTACTCACCTTCCAACACCGAAGCCGGAGCGCCTGCTTCAAAGTAAACGTCAGTCTTTCCCTTCTGGAGGAACGAAGCGGCCTTCAGCGCAGCCAACTCCTGGGTGAATCCCGCATGCGGGACATCATAGTGAATGTCAATCACCGACGGAAGCGAGGCCTGCATGGTAGACTGGATAGCGACCGGCGGCACGAATGGCTCCAGAAAACTGGACTTTCCCCGGACAATGTTACCGATTTTGGCAATCTCTGCAGAGAGCATGGCCTGCTTTAGCGAAGCGTCTGCGGACGCCTCAGCGGAAGACTTGGCCGATTCAGTCTTGAAGATGGAAGACACGGCGGCGTCAATGGAAGCCTTGTCTTCCGCAGGTGCGTGCAGCACGAATTCATGATCAGCAGCAGGCGCGAGGGAAGAATAGCCCTGGAGGAACGAGTGGTGCATGCCGACAATGGCGTGAACCTTGGCAATCTCCGCGTTCAAGAGACGCTGCTTGTCGGCCAAACCCGCTGCTTCCAGACCCTTCTCATGAGCTTTCTCTACGGCCATCAGCGCGTCAATGTCAGCGTTTGCTTCAGCAGAGGGCATGGAGGGGGGCATCAAGTTTAAAGTGTAGGGAGTCGCGTCCGCGACTTTCCCTGCAATTCCCGTCGCCACACCCGGAGGCACCATTTCCAGCGGGTCGGGAAACATCCGGGCGCCGTGGGCGCACAGCGACGTCGCGGCAATGACGCGAAGCATTTTTTGTCCTGGTAGCAAGATTTGCGCAGGGAAAAACTAAGCTAATGTTAGGAAAATTGACATGGTAAATGATAGTAGAAGTTTTGCGAGAGTTTGGTAGACAAGCGGTTTTGGTGTGGGACAATTCAAGAATTTGCACTCACGAGCGCACACGATTTTGCACTCTCCATCTGAAATATTCTGACGAAGGTACGAACAAGACGAGACGCCAGGCGCATAGAGTGGCAGCGTGCGCAGGAATTACTAAATTTTGTTGCCGGGGTGTTCCTCTTTCACTTAAGAGTTCTTTGCATGTCTTCCTCCAACTAGCAAGCCCCACCGCAGGACGAAGCCGTGGACGCGTAGGTCGGATGCGGTCGAGGAGCGTGTTCCATCCCCAACATCATCTCTCTAAAGGCGGCCAAGCCGGTCGTGTCTGGCTGCGGCGGAACAGGAAGACCGCCCATGGCCCCAAGAATTGCGTCACCTTTGCGCAGAAAACTGGACGGAGTTAGCGCCGCCAAGAGTGCCTGAATTGGTTAAGTTTTCTAGTATTTAGAAGCCCGCTGAAAAACCAACGTCATGCCGTGGCATTATATATCTAGGAATCACGGGAAGGCCTACCTTGTCACTGCGCAGTTCTTGAGCCGCAGCTGCGATGCGGCTATCCAACGCCAAACCAGTTTCCATTGCTGACATAGCGGAAGCTGCATCAAATGCAGGGTAGTGGTAGCGCACGTTAACCTCCGGCAAGGTGTGGGCCACTTCACCGCCAAACTCAGGCTTCTCAGCAGGCAGGCCATAGTTACCCGGCGCAGTCGGTGAGTTGAACGCTGTGTAGCCAGCGACAACTGTCAGACATGAAGCAAAGCTGAGGAAGCGCATCTTTTCCCTTCAATTGAATGGATCAAAACTACTTGAAAACAAGAACAAAAAAACCCTGGCAAAGCATCCTATTGAGTGCAGTTGCTACAAAGTGACGCGATGCGAAACGCGAAACAGATTCAGTATGACTTGGCAGTCGCTCTCTCAACGACGAGGCACGTTAAGCACATGATTTGTTCACTCAGCCACTGTCTTTGCGCTTTTTCATGAGTTCACAGAACCAGAGCTAAACTTTTTGTTTGAAAAAAACCCACGGCTGCGGCAGAACGCGGTGAGTTGCATGCACCGCATGCAGACTACACGAGGGCACACAAGCACGACGCGCAGCCAGCCACCAGGTGAGTGGCACACTGTGTCGGGTCAGCATTAGCGCAAGCGCCACACACGAGGAAAAGCATCCAAGTGCATAGATCTTCCACCAGACGAAAGAGAGGGAAGCGAGTGCGTCGCGCGGTTCTATTCACACAGAGACCGGAGCAGACAGGTGCTGCAGTCATTGACCACGCTCGTCAAATATGTGCTAGAGGAAGGCAAGGCCGGCTTGGCAAACGGCCGGCAAAAGGCCGAAACGCGAGTAGTGCGCGGCGCTTCAACATCCTGAGGCCCCAAGCGCAACAAAAAGAAGCAGCGCCACTGTGCGCTACGTTTGATGCAGGTCCGAGACGTGCGCCCCACGGTATTGCATCCACTAAGCAGATTGAACCCGAGGCGCAGGCGGCGCTGAGACTTTGCGCAAGTGCACGCTGCGCGGTCCTTGTTGTGCGTAGTCGCAGCAGAACGGGGGCAGCATATAGGCCGCTGCACGCAGCCGCAGAAGGTTGGTGGCACGTAAACAACCAAGACCAAGGCCGAACCAGATCACCGCCGGACGCAAAGGGTGCGACCGTCCAAAATTAGCGCAAGCGCCACACGAATGGAAAAGCATCCAAGTGCATAGATCTTCCACCCGCTCAAACAGTAACACCAGCAAGCTCCGCGCACTTCTATCCGCACAGACACTGGCGAAGACAAGCACAGAAATCATTGACCACAGTCGTCAAAAAAGAAAAAAGATCACGTCCGCCAACAGGCTCAGCGACGACCATGCGATGCGTCACGGAGCACTGGCGCGG